TGTAAATTCAATTTGCTTCCAATGACATTGACAATTTATGTATAAATTTTGTATTAATCAGAAAACTCTTTTGCTTGTTGACATCTTAAATTTATTTTGATTTCAGATTGAAAATAAACTCAGCTAATAATAATTAACGCATTTCAAAAGGTTGAACCTCACCATTTGATTAGAAGTTGATTAAAAGGATTTTAAAAATACCCTTTTCTTTAAACTTGTAACATATTTAATCATGTAGGACGTTGATCAAGTTAGTTAATTTGGACGTTGAAGCTGGAAAATCAATTGAATCAGTAGCAGAGTTTCAAGTTCAAGTTGATAAATTGATATTCAAAGATTATGATTGAAAAGGTTGAAAATTAGCGGAAAAAAGGAGCAATTCAATTGAAGACATTTGTTGTCAGACATTCAGAAAACCTTAATTCAAATGATCTGATAATAATAATGATCTGAAGAGGGCCTCATAAACCATTTCTTTGCCAGTTTAAATCAAGTTGTACTCTCGCCACCAAATAAGCACCAATAAACAAGTGTAAATAATAATAATAATAATGATAATTTGATGATTCTTAATCATCCAGTGGAAGTTTAAAAATAATGGAAATGATAATGATAGTTTAGCCTGTAATTGGCTGGTTGTTATAGTAATATCTTTGGGACAATTTTTCATTCATTAACAATCATGAACTCTTTTAACCATAACTATACTCAATTCAACTCAATTAGAAGGTGATTTAAGGTGAAATGTTTTTCCTCTCTACTTCTTCAGAGGCTTGTAAAGGTGAGAGTCAAGTAAAAAAATGATCTTGTTGGTTGTTCAAGAATAATTGAATGAGTTGAGTTAAGGTGAAAAAAAAGTGAAAGATTCTACACTTTCCTCTAACATACAATCCACTGAAAACTAAATTAAATAAATGATCTTTTAAATGATGAACTGAACTAGGTAAGTTGATGCTATTATTATCATTATCATTATTATATAAATGTAATGTAAAAATATAATGGTGTTTCCTATCCTTGGCTTTTCCCTGTAGACTTTACTTTTTATTATCTTTGTAAGGCCAGGACAGTTGAAGAAAGAACGTAGTTTCTCCCGTTTCTTATCCGTTCCACAAGGTTGTTTTTAAACCGGTGTCTTGATAATAATAACCGCAACGGCATCTCACTTTCACTTAATGATAATGATAGTCTTTAATCTGTGGGGAGAGAAGGGAAAATACGCATTAGAAGGCGAGATATTTACTTAAAATGGTGATAATATGATGAAAATGATGCAAGGTGAAAGAATTAGAAACACCAAGATTTACCTTCTTTTTTATATGTTACGCTTTTCAGGTAAAGTTACAAAGGAAAAAAGGGAAAGTGTGTTTATATGGATAAGAAAATATTTTTGCCAATGTATCAACGATCGTTGAGTGTAACTTGTTGCTGTCATTGTAACTCCTCCTTTACCGTCACCACCACCATCATGATCCTCATCTTGAGCTATCATATCTAACCTTTTGTTAAATATCATAAGATTGTTGAAAACGTTGATTGTTTTTTTTCCTTTCTTTTAGTTGTGTGTGTTTGTGTGTGTATTTGTGATTCGTATAGAAGCTTGAGTTGAGTATTGAGGGACACGAATGAAAAATGATACACAAAAGGCTTTTCCTAACCTGTTATTACTTTAACGTCACGGATCGTATATTTTGCCTCAACATTTCGCCGTTTTTCATCAACAATCCAAACATACTCATATCATCCTTCATCTCAGCTCTATGCTTTTGAAAGATCCCACACTGTAAATAGCCTCTGGTAGCCATAATCAACTCCTAATATAAGGTTAATTTTGGATTCCTTTTTACACCTTGGTCATATCAAAACTATCACTTTCCATCATCCTCTTGGACTTTCCCAAAGAAACGCTTTTTTGGTACGCTTTTGACTTATCCTCCTCCTCCTCCTACAACTCCTACTCTTACTCCTCCACCACCACCATCTTTACCACCTCCTTTTTTCTTGATCATCTCTTCTAAAGGAAGTTACTTTAAGGCTAACTTTGAAATGAAACAAAGGTAGATATTGGCAAAAAATGCTTCTCCATTGCTTCAATGATTTTGGAAAAACTTTTCTCCATCTTCTTCATTTGTCCGCCATTTTCCGATTTTTCTCATTTTCCTTTGAGTTGCATCTTCCATCCTCTTTCTTTGGACTCTGGTTAGATTTGGACTTCTGATATAATGGCAATTACTGAACATGAAAAGTCCTAGAAACCGAATTAACTTGCTTTGACAATTTCCTTTGTTTTCACTGTCCTTTACTGGCAATCGTCCCATATTTGTGTGTCTTCAGTAAAATTAAATTTAAACCAAATGTTGAGCTTTTTTGGAAAATTTCAATTTACTGACCCCTTTGCTAGACTGCATTTATTTAATCATTTTGATTTTGTTATTTGTTCCAATTGCATGAAATGCAGTCACCTCATCTTCATCTTAATCACCAACCTTAGTCTTCCTGTAGTTTTGTCTCACTTTTTTCCTATTTATGTTTTATATCCTCTTGAAATTTTTGTTGCCTTTGCTAGAAACAAGTCAAAAATTGAAATAAAATAAAAATAAGCATTAGTTAATGACAATTTGTCATGATTATCGAGATTTGTAATGTCAAACTGAATATTTGATTCTTTATACTTACATTGCGTTTCTGTATCATAAACTTTATTTCATCTTCTCTTCTTCTTCTTTTTCTTCTTCTTTGCTCTTGTTCAACTTCATTTCATGAAACTTGATTTTCTACAACTCCATTTATGATTGAATTCTCATTGTAAAAAGAGGTAAACTCTGTTTCTCATTAATGAGGACCAATTATCACGTGAAATTTTATATTACAATTTAGTCTCTTCTCATCTCTTGATTACCATCATTAACACCATGAAAATATGGGACTAAACGGGATTGTATGTCCATGACAACTAATGTGCGATAGCCTTTTGGCAAGCCATTGCTTTCTAGCCTCAGGTACAACTCTTGATTTAAACGTTAATTGTATTAACCAGTGTTTAAACGGCAACATCGCATTTTGTATGTTTGCTCAAAGAAAGTGTTGCCCAAACGTCGCATGATAGTTGATAGATACAAAACAGCATTTCATGCCATTATTGGAATTTGCAAGGTGAATTCATCATAATGATTGTCATTTTGTTTCTTGCAAATTAGTGCCACCACCAACAAGTGAATGCAAAAAAAAAGGTAAAATGTTAATTTGCATTGTAAGCGTCATTACTTTCCATTGTTTTATCCGTTTTACTGATTCTTCATTATCATCTTTTCTCATCATCCAACTGTTGAATAGAGTCTTTTTGTTTCATCTCACAGTATGATAATGAAGTTACAGTATGATAATGAAGTTGAAATGTTGAAACAGGGTGAACACAGTCAGGTTGAGTGATAGAATTGAATGAAAATTGAAATCGGGAGTCCAATGTTATATTACCTGGGAATATTGAGAGAAGAAGAGAAAAGGTAAGAAAAGTATTTAAAGTAAACAAGACGATGAAAAGCATAAGATGATGGTGATGAAGATGAAGAGAGAGAGAGAGAGAGAGAGAAATCAAGGAAATGATCAACTGGTTTAGACTCGGTATTTTTAAGTGTAAACCCTGTTTCATTTAACTTGATTTATGATCATTTCCTTGATTATCACTTCTCAATTTTTTAAGCTTTGAGGTGTGGTTGATGATCAGGCTTCCATCCTCATGATGTTGATGATCAACAGTATCATCGTCATCATGAAAGAACCTTTCAAGGTTGACCAACAGAGTAAACCCTTTTTGCGTTTCACTTATTAATTGAATCCGCCAGATAATTTAATTTTGTACCAGAAAATGGTTCATTTGTTCACAATTAACTGGTAACAATAGTTTGAAATTATTTCTCCTCATAACCTGATATTTGTATTGATTTGTAGATGATTATGTTTAGATTGTTGGTTATTTGTAACTTGAAATGAAACATAATTTATCTTTCTCATGATTTTATATTTAATAAATGTTTAACCACCAGTCAACCTTGATTAAATAAGACAAGTAATCAAGTTGAACTGATTAATTTATAACAGCTATTTGATTCAGCTTGGTATTGATGTACCTGATTCAATATTTGATTTGAAATATTGATAATTAATAATTGACTTAAGCTCATAACTTGTGAATCTTTTCTCAACATCTTCATACAAATATACAAATCAACACTAAAAGAATGAGAATTTGCCTGTTTTATGAATTATCGGATAAACTTGATTTTGCCTCATCTTAGATTATCTTATATTGACAAATAATAATGATAACTCATCATGATTGAAAAGCTTAAGGTTGTTACATTTTGATTTAGGTTCAATTGTTTACCTAAAATTTTCACTTCTACTCTTGGAGATTGAAACAACCTTAATCAATTCACACAATCAATTGTAATTTGATTGTAACTCCTATTTTTTCAATGGGGTCATGAAAACTCAATATCAACATTTTTCTCATTCATCGTTTATGTTAATTATTTAATATCAGCACGAGTTTCACGCAATCAAAGTGTGAATAACAGAATGCACTTGATGTTAAATAATTACTTTTCAAAGTAACGATAAAAGGTTTAGCCATAGTAACCGGTTTATCTTCAACTATCAAGTAAACAGTTAAATATACACTAGTAGTCAGGGTTAAGTTAACAGAATCGCAGATTTTATTCTTAGTCGCCATCTAACAAGAAATTAAAGTACCTTTCGAATTTAATTAGATACCGAAGTCAGTTTCAAGTCACTCAGTGAGTCGATTGACAACAGAACGAGTTGACTGGAATCATTTGGTCAGACAAAAATTTTCCATTAAAACGGAGTATCGATGTTTTAGATATGTGGAAGGGTTGAAAACTAGAAAGAGTGAAGAAATTTAAATTTTGAATCACTAAACTGTATTCTGAGACACCCTGTCCTTGATCAGAATTACTCTTACTCTTGATAGAACTACAATTAATGTTTTTTTTCCTGAGAACTGATTTACCATTCTCTAATAGTATGTTTCATTTCTTCAACTTAACTCGTTCTAAAGCTATGAACGGTTGAAATATTTCATTTTGACAGATTTTATGAAGATTAAGACTATTGATATTGATAAATTTGATTGGCTAGCCAGTCGAAATAGTTGAATTTGGCTGTGCCGACTGTACAAGCTCAGTCGCAGCCAGTCACTTATTCACCTTCAAGCCAGTGACTTCCATCCATCGACTAGCTTCGGTATATAAATTTAATTTTGCACAGTTTATATTGTTAAGTGTCTCTGAAAATTGTATATATTTAAGATGGCGATACCTAAAAGTTATCTTAAATCTGAACCTTTTTTGTTAACTTAAGACTGGCTACTAGCGTATTGAAGTTGAACACATGATTTGGAGTGGACCGTTGATAGACTGTTAATTGAAGGTGATGACAGTGCCATAGAGGCTGCAACTCTATCATGGTTGATTCCATTGTCATAATGATGTGGATTATGATGATGATGATTATTGTGATGATGACCATTGGATTGCCCATTTACATTCGAGTTATTACCATTGCTACGGTTATTATTATTACTATTATTTTCATTATTGCTGCTGTTGTTGCCATTATTTGTGTTATTGTTATTTACTGACAAGGGGGGTACCCGAGGTCATCCGAACCGATTTCAATGATTAGTGTGTCATTGAATTCGTCTTATTGAAAAACAATATAGTTCGTCTTCTTTTGAGTAGCAAATGGACAGAAGGGTCGAAAAGCGCCATTTATTGTCTATCGCTATGCATAGATCAATGTGAAAGCAATAATATGAACCCATTGCGATGAGGCTTTTTGTTTCTTTCATTTTATTTTGTATGCTCTTTACCATACTTTACATGTAAAAAATTGAATTTTAATTCCGTTTTTCTCGTTAATCTTTAATTTGCTACCCGGGAGATTTCGAGACAATTAAACACTCATAAAACCTAATTGGTTTCTGATAAAATTATTAAATTTTATTCGGATGACCTCGGGTACTTCCCTCGTGAGTCATTATTGACTGAACAATGATGATTGGCTGAGGAATGACTTGTTGATGGAACTGGTAAACCAATTGAGCCAAATAAATTGATTGAGGAATCAGGTTCATGAGATACACTGAGAGAACCGTCTTTCATAAAGTCCATCATGATTTCATGAAGCATTCAAGATCCAATCAAATGTTTTCAATCGCGATTCCAATAAATGTATAAAACCCAAGTGATTCAATAAGGAAGGGTAGATAAGATGAAAATGACAGCAGTGGAAAACAATGTTGCTACCAATTAATTAAGTAAGTGTATGCGATCCACAGGATTATTTAAACAGCAATTAGTTGACCTTTTCGCATCCACAGTCCAAATGGTTAACCGATGATGATTAGATGTTAACAACAATCATGGAATCGAATGAGAACCAAGAAAAAGCGAAACTAAAGACCACAAGATCATGAGAAAAGACAATCCAAATGTTAATTCAACGTTCACAATTGATCGATGGACAGATACACTTTTCAAAATGGTAAACACTGTATCATGATGTTACTCAATTAGATACTTTGTTATTACACTGGTTTTGGTGAATGTAATGGCGTATTTTTACACTGTTTTTGTTATTGTTGATGATGAAGAAGGTGAAATATATTACGATCTAGAAGACAAAAGATGAGGATCACGATTCAGATAATAGTTACTAATGAGATTCTCTGAGAAGTAGAAAAAACGAGTTGACTTTTGTTTGCAAACCTAAAAAATCGTTTACACACAAATCGAAATGTAAAAGTAACAGTGAAAAAATAATGAATTTTCTTTGTTTCTTTGTAACCCTTTCTCTAGCCTATCTGCATCTTCCTCTTTCTCTCGTTTCTCCTTCTTTCCCTCACACTCTCTTTTTGCCTTTTCTTTGATTTCTCCACTTTCTCTGTCTTACTAACTAACTCTCAACCATTTTTGTTGGACCCTTAAAATTGAATCGAAAGAGGCTCCGCCTTGATCTATTGATCTCGCAGTATCTAAGTCTTCATCTTGCCCGCCATCATTTTGTCCTAAAATAAAGTTTAAAGAAGCTCGGTTAATCACTGGATTTAATAAGAAAACAGAAATAAGTTAAACTAGTTACCTTTTTTGCGTTTGTTTCATCCTTCCATCAAAAACTGTGTTGTGTTCATTTCCATCCTGATTACCATAGTGATGGACTTTCATCCGAGATGATCCAGGTAAGTTGATTTGTTTTAAAAGAAGAGAGTAAGAATGAAAAAAAAGGTTTGGCTTGGTACTTTTTTTGCAACATTGAAAGGGTTAGTAGGATAACATATGATGTGATTTCACATATAAAAAAGAGGGAATCACATAAAAAAAACAGCCACAGAAGAAAAGGTAAAAAAAGTCTGAAAGGATTTAAGGATGTTGTTGTTGTTGTCTTGAAATCTTTGTCTCTCTAACCCAATATGTTAGACCCACTGCCCCAGGTATCAAACTACCGTTACTATATTTAATTTAATATATCTGTCGATCTATTAAATGACACAGCAAACCATTGAATTGATATGGAAAAAGGGTTAAAATCATTTAGCGTTTTCAATCATCATAATATACCTTGAATTAGATTCAATCAACCTTTTTTTTTATAAATACATTTTCTTGAATTTCCTTTTTTCAATTTACTCTCTCCTTCTCTCTCTCTCTTTCTTAACTCTTTCGTTTCCTTCTTATCTTCCTTTTAACCTAACTGTTCTTTCTTCCTTCTTTCTCCCTCTCCTTTTTTACCTTTTTGATTGTCAAGGGCAAGGGCAAGGAGTTGAAAGGTGAACCGCGTTAAGACATCAACCCTTTACCTCTTGCAACCCAACCCTTAACTCCCTATTGATCCTGATTGTATTACATAACAGAGGTTTTTTCATCAAAGGCCATTCAGTATTCAATTGAATTCATCATTTTCATCATCCGGTTTTACTACTTTCTTTTCAGTTTAACTCTTTTTTTTACACTCAACCAACATTTCACTAATCTCTTTAACCCTTTTCATACCTCCTTATGTTAGTCTTATGATATATATTTTTACATCATCTTATGTTATCAATGGTTTCTTAGGGTCCACATTGTATTCAAACTCAATGAGTATTCACTTGATTTTTCACTATTCTTGTTCAACCATCGCTTTCATTTTTTAACATCAGCCATTTTTATTTTCATATTTTTTTCATTAACATCCTTTTTCATCCCCAGTTTTTTTCTTCATCCTCATCTTCTTCCTTTGCTTTCTTCTTGCTTCAATTTCATTTTTCATTTCTCTTTCTTTCTCATTTGCTTGATGCACTTTTGTCTCAATCAATTTTCATAATTTTGATTCTCTTTCTTCATCTTAATTGCCCAAGGCTGATTAATTTTTAGGTTTCATTGTAAAGCTACAAAGAGTAGAGTACAACTTGATGTATCCATAGTTTCAATCTTCCTCCTCATCATCATCAGCCTCCATCTTTTTCATTAACCCTTTCTTTTTTTGAAAAAAAATCTCATTCTTTTACACAATTCGCTTTTTCCATTTACTTTTTCTTCCTTCATCCTTCCAACCAATTTTCCTCTAACTTAAACTTCTCTCCCTTTCTCTCTGTCTTTCTTCATCTTTCTTCCTCTTACTCTTCTCTCTTCTCTTTCACTCTTCATCCATCTCTCCTTCAGCCTATAGGAAATCTATATTCTTACAAGGCGGAGCTTATTTCTATTCAATTTTGAGGGTCCAACAAAAATGGTTGAGAGTTAGTAAGACAGAGAAGGAAAGAAATCAAAGAAAAGGCAAAAAGAGAGTGGAGGAGAAAGAAGGAGAAACGAGAGAAAGAGGAAGATGCAGATAGGCTAGAGAAAGGGTTACAAAGAAACAAAGAAAATTCATCATTTTTTTCACTATGTTACTTTTAGATTTCGATTTGTGTGTAAATGATTTTTTAGGTTGCAAAAAAAGTTGAACTCGTTTTTTTCTACTTCTCAGAGAATCTCATTAGTAACTATTATCTGAATCGTGATCCTCATCTTTTGTTTTCTAGATCCTAATATATTTCACCATCTTCATCATCAACAATAACAAAAACAGTGTAAAAATACGCCATTACATTCACCAAAAATATCAAACCCAAAACTAGTGTAATAACAAAGTATCTAATTGAGTAACATCATGATAATTTATACAGTGTTTACCATTTTTAAAAGTGTATCTGTCCATCGATGAATTTTGAAGTAACTTTGATTCCATTGAATTACCAATTGGATTGTCGTTTTGTTCCCATGATCTTGTGATCTTAATTCGCAATTTTCTTGGTTTTCATTTGATTCCATGATTGTTGTTAACATCTAATCCTCATCGGTTAACCATTTGGGCTGTGGATAAAAAAAAGTCAACTGATTAAATTGCTATTTGAGTAATCCCGTGGATCGTATATACTTACTTAATTATTCAAATACTTAATTAATAGGAAGCAACATTGTATTCCATTGCTGTCATTTTCATCAATTTTTTCTATCTCCACTTCCTTATATACTTTTATTGCAATCGAAATTGAATCTTGAATGCTTCATGAAATCATGATGGACTTTATGAAAGACGGTTCTCTTAGTGTATCTCATGAACCTGATTCCTCAATCAATTTATTTGGCTCAATTGGTTTACCAGTTCCATCAACAAGTCATTCTTCAGCCAATCATCATTGTTCAGTCAATAATAACTCAGTAAATAACAATAACACAAATAATGGCAACAACAGCAACAATAATGAAAATAATAGTAATAATAATAACAGCAGCAATGGTAATAACTCGAATGTAAATGGGCAATCCAATGGTCATCATCACAATAATCATCATCACCATAATCCACATCATTATGACAATGGAATCAACCATGATAGAGTTGCAGCCTCTATGGCACTGTCATCACCCTCAATTAACAGTCTATCAACAGTCCACTCTAATAATAATGCCAATCATTCCAGTGCAGCTACTCCTGTGATATCACTGTTTAAATTGAAAAACTTTCTCCACCAACCCAAGTTCAAATCTTTGGGCAATAGCAACGATGGTAAGATTGGTAATAACATTTGATGAATTTGTCCAAAAAAATGTGTTACCTAAAAACCAAATGCGAGAATGAAAAAGAGGGAAAACAATGAGAAAGTAAATGGACAAAAAGTTTGAATGTGAAGAGCCAAAAAAATAATTTCAAACACGAACACTTGAGTTGATTAATAGAGTGTAAAAGGTAGATAGAAACGGATCTTACCATTAAAAAAAAATCTCAACGAAAATAGATTTATAAATTGGGAAAAAACAAATTGAAATTATAAAGCAAAATAATGAACAGTAAATGTTGAATGATGACTCAAGATCCAATCCAAGTCTAGTTACATAGTTACTCTTTAGAGTCATCTTTTGACTTGAAATAATTGAATTTGTTTGACACAATTAAATTCAAAGGATTTAATTGTCAATTGGATAATTAGTTGTAAGAAATAAGGATTAAAATAGATTAAGCATTTTTTATCAGTGATTCTGCTTTTTATTGAATAGAGTTTTTTACGAGTTTCGATAAATCGAAAGTTTGATATCGATTTATCGAACTGCTTGCTCTCATCTGGTTATGTAACCATCTTTTTTTATCCTTCACAATCTGTTGGATTGTCATCTATGGATTTTGCAATGTTCATTTAAATCTACTGCTGATAATTGAACTGATTTTATTATTGTTTTACCTTCCACTATAAGTTAACTCAACTATTGAATTGTGTGTGTTCTTTATTCAGCTTGAGATAACAATTCCTCGTCTGATTACTTCATGATCAAATGTGAACACTTTACTGTACATCTTTCCCTCCTTTTTCCTTTGCTTTTTCATATACATTTTGTTTGTTATTTTCTGTGTTTACTTATTTCACAGTTGATTTTTTAATTGATTTACTTTTTATTTTGATTCTTGTGTACAATATTGTTTAATTTAACTGACTATAACAAGTGTTTACCATTTTAATACTGCAATAATTTCATTTTCTCAACGTTTTTTATCAATCTTTCTGAATGACTTTTTCACTGCCTAGTAGTTTGTTTACCATACCAACCATTGAACCAGCATCAATCTAACAACGATGATTTTATTCTCCTTTTATCGATTTATCTTTCCATTTCCAATCAAGATTACCAAACATATTCAGGTCCCAACAGTGTGGAAGAAAGTCGATCAGGTTCAAGTGGACTGGATACATCACCCACAATACACCATAGTCTCTACGGAAATCGAAGTGTAGCCAACTCAAGTCCAACCTCTGGTCCACCCCATCAGTCTGTCTTGGTAGTACCTCAGCCGGTGAAAACCTCTATGCCCAATAACCCCACAACCAACGGTACAGGTCGGAAGTATCAGTGCAAAATGTGTCCTCAGGTAGAAGTTATTTTATCCGCTACATCTTAAATTATTTTTTTCTTGCCCTTCCGATTTCCACTCATCCAAGAATAAGATTCTTTATCAATGATCAAAATAATATTTAACCTTTACACTCGCCATTTTAAACTCTCACAAGATTAAATGAATCTCAAGGAGTGAGAAAGTTCAGAAAAGTTAACGCAACAATAAATCTAAAATTAGATCTTTGATAGTATTGAATATCACTCTACGAGCAATTTTTTTATAATTGTTTTCATCAAGGAAATGAGTCTGACAATTTAAACCTTTATCTTGTTTTCTTATTCTACTTTTCGTATCCCGTGTAAGCGGAAGCTGATTGCTAAGAAAAAAATATAAAACAAGAGTAAATTGTTCTCTAGTGGTCAAATTATCTTGATCAAGAGAGGTGTAATGCGTAAAATTGTGAATCTCACTAATGAGTAGTCAATTTGACCATTTGGTCAACTTTTTACCTTCTGTAATTTTTCATTTCGCTGGGAAACAAGCTTACTTCAGATGACAGACTTGATTATTATTGTTTAAATATTTTTTTGCGGTACAATTTATCTTTACGATTTTATCTAAAACTGTTTATGAATGACATTTCCCTATCTTTGGTCACTTTAGTGGTGACAACTGTCAGGCTAATCTTTTAAGTTTCTGAGTATTTCACTTGACAACCTGTGATGATAAATTGTAAATACCCTAAGTTTGTGTGAATGAACATGACTGTTGTAAAAAAAGTTAAGAATGAAATGTGAGTAAATCACCTCGACTGAATATACCAATTAACCAAAATAGATCAATGATAAAAACAGTAAAGTTTACCACTCTGATGGTCAACACTGTACACTCTTAAAGTTTGAACAATCATTTTTAAACTCAACAACATAATTTGAAAGGTAAAATGAATGACTGAAGTAGTGAATGAAAAGGGAAATACTGCTTTTGATGATGATGATGATGATGAAAAGTAATACATCTTCGGAAGTGGATAAGATATGTTGACTTTGTATAGGGTCAAGGTTGTCATTTTAAGCTATTTAACTTTCTCCTTCCCTTGAATGAATGCAAAGGTATGGATGACTGATGTCGATGTAACCTTGTCCACAAAAATTTGTTTATGTTAAACAGGTTAATGTCGTTAAAGATTCACCATTCACTTGATAATAATCATCATTATCATTACCATTATCATTATCATTATCATTTGTCACTATTATCATCATCATTCGTCAATTAGAATCAACTCCCTCGATAGGCTTATTATTTAAATTATCTTATTTTCTTGTTTTTTTTCACTTCCATCTTCTTCTTTTCCTTACATCATTTCCTTTCCTACCTTTCATCATTTTACATCAACAATCACAACTACCTTATTTACATGGAGCATTGTCCTAACAGCACTTGAATGGTTACCCACAATCAGTTGAATGAATCGTAATGATACCTTTCCACAAAGTCTTTTATATTTACTTTGATAGGTTCACTATAGGATTTGAATTTTTGAACACTTGTTTCTCAGCAAATAGTTTACCAATTTTACCTTTGCACAAAATAAATAACTAGCACTATTGTTGTAACAAAGATATTTTATTTTCAACAGGTATTCGGATCCAAAGCAGATATGCAGCTTCACACTCAAATACATATGAGAGAACCTAAACCGTACAAATGTTCCCAGTGCTCCAAATCATTTGCAAACTCATCATACCTCTCACAACACACGCGAATCCATCTTGGCATTAAACCTTATCGATGTGAAATGTGTCAACGAAAGTTTACCCAATTATCTCATCTTCAACAACATATTCGAACTCATACCGGTGATAAACCTTATAAATGTCGTCACACCGGTTGTAACAAAGCATTTTCCCAGCTTTCAAATTTACAATCTCATTCGCGATGTCATCAAACGGATAAACCCTATAAATGTAACTCATGTTATAAATGTTTTACCGATGAGGCAGCCCTTCTTGATCACATACCTAAACACAAAGAATCGAAACACCTGAAAACGCATATTTGTCATTTTTGTGGTAAAAGTTATACTCAAGAAACTTATTTAGCCAAGCACATGCAGAAACACGCTGATCGTCCCGAAAAACGTTCATCCGGATCTTCATCAACCTCATCCTCTTCAACCTCACCGGTTGCTGCTGGTGGCCCTTCAGCAACTTCATCATCAGTCCCTTCATCAGGCGCATCATCAGTCCCCGTATCAGCCGCAGCATCAGTCCCTGTATCCGCAGCAGCATCAGTCCCTTCATCAGCCGCAGCCGCAGCAGCAGCAGCAGCGGCCGCTGGTCTCATTGGAAGATCTCCTGGTAATGGTGGCGCTCCTGAAAGTCACTACGGATGGCATTCAACGTCATCTGCCAATAACAATAATAACAATAGTACCAATAATAATTCCACTAATAATAGTAATAATAATTCAAATAATAATAATCAAAATGCTGTAGCAGCAGCTTACTTCCCTTATGACACCTTTGGTTTTGCCAAACCTGGTTCTGGACCAGTTCATGGTATGGACATTAAATCATCCATGGAAGCAAAATCAAGCGGTTATAGCTCATTCCCTAATCAATTGATTGCATTACACCAGATCCGTAATTATGCATCCATGCCCAATAGTGCGGCATCGATAGCTCAAGAGCATAGGATTTTGAAAGATAAATCATTTTATGACAAGGAAATGAACATTCATCACCCAATATGTACTTCCCTGATATCCAAATGAACTGAACGCATCCATTGTGTTTCTTCATTTAAAAATAATATAACACTCATAAACAAAACAAGTCCTTAAAGTGATCATCTTAATTGTCACTGTTAAATCTTAGTCCTCATCATTATCTTCACTCTCTCTTCTCTTCTTCTCTTCTCTTTCTTTCTCTCTTCATGTAATTTCTATCTTTACTAATATTGTTTTCTTTGCTTTCTTTTCATCCCAACTTGTTTATTTTCAAAAAAATAGTTTTCAATACTACATTGGATCTAATTAAGAGTCAATCAAAGTAGTTGATTGTAATTTTTTCATCTCTTTATTAGTTTGCTAATTAAAAATTTCACCCTCATCATTCATTTAGTGTTAATTGCTAATATGTTAAGCTTGTCAGCCTGTAATGAATCTTTCCTTAGCTTGACTCAAGCATTACAAACTGTATTACAACAAATTGAAATATCTCTTGAACATCATTTTCATTAATTTGCGAGTTATCATCGTCATTTAATAGACTGATATAATCATCTCCTTAACCTGTCTCATCATCAACTAAATCATCATCTTAATGTTCAATATTTGCTGGCTGATTGAATATTTATTGCTAATAAATGCAAATTAAACAATTTACTTTCAATACATTGTCCATTATCATATGCATCCCCACCAAGTCAAATCAACATTTACAGTCTCAATCAGGTTAACTCTTCATTTTCATTGAATTACTAAATCATATAAACTCAACCATTAACCATATTATTGGCTTTAAATTGGTGATTTAATGGGCTCAAATGATTTGTTAAACTCATTACCAGAAAAACTAAAAACGAGGATAAATCAGAAGATCAAAAACACATAGAAATATGGTTAAATAGTAAACTGTTAAACCAGAAATTAAGTTTACCATATGTTTGAAAGGGTTTTTTTGCCACTCACAGAGTTGACGATTAATTATGACTCGGTCTGGTAAAATAATTAACTTGTCAGGCCACTCATTCAAATTGGAATGTGAATTGAAAATTGTTTATTATTCAATTTGTCTCATTCAATGTGAATTATATCATGATTATCTTAATACTGTTCAAAATTTTACTTGCATCAACCTTAGTAAAGGCAACATTAGTTAAAGATGAAAGTAAGTTTATCCCAATCAAGTTTCTATTAATGTCCTGAGTTTAATGTTTTTCAATGATCTCAATGATTACAATTACGGTTCTTATTAATAGATCTTTTAAAGCAATTTGAAAAGATATTCAATACAAGAGATAATTTTTCAATCTCATTGAAAAATGTTAGATCTCCTGCAGCATGGAAGTTGAAATCGGTTGAAAATCAAAATCTGTTTCAACTACAAAACGGTGAACAAGTAATTGATTTTAGTTTGGATCGTGCCAATTCAAGCTTCAAGATAACGATTAAGAGTCCCGGTTATCCAACAATTAGTCAACATGCTTGGAAATTGTCGGTTCCAATTGTTAATCGAACATCAAACCATAGATTGGTTTTGATTTACTTTGATCAACTGGAAACTAAAGGTTACAAGGATCAGGATAAACTAAAGGCTTGGGTCTTTGTTGACTGTCAATCTTTTGGATTTATTGAACTGAATATCAATCCATTTGATAATATTGTTCCAGGGGAAAATCAAATCACTTTGGTAAGTTGCTTTTTCAGTTCCAAATTATTTGTATTAATTGTTGATTTACTCAGGAGAAGGAGATAAAGGTTAGAGTTGTAGTTGACAAAGGAATTGATCTATTTACTGTCTTGGATCGTGAATCTTGTCCAACTGCTTCTGCATCACCTTACTATGTTGTTGCTCGGAGCCTTCCTTCAACCAAATTACCTTGTTTCGGGTCAGATGATTTGACAATTGAATCAGGTTCATCAACATGTAGATTAGCTTCATCTTCAGCTACAACATCAACAACAGCAACGACATCCTTCAATCGAGGCCTTGCCATTTTAACCAAAACTCTGATTCAATTGGATAAAACTGTAAAAGATGCAATTGTATCCATTGATCAACAGGTAAATCAAACATAAAAGCCAATTTTTTGCTTATTATTCAATCTCGTCTATTGTAAATAACTTTCGTTGTACAGACTCAAGAAACTAAAGCTTTAAGGCAACGTCTAGAGCAATGTGCCCTTTGTCGTTCAGGTAAAATTTAAAGTCAAAAGCTTGATTGATGAGTGAACTTATTTTGACAAATTTTATCAATACACAATTAACACTTTAGATGACAAGAAAAGGTCTTGTAAGGATAATCCTTGTTTCCCAGGAGTTAACTGTAATGATTTGCCAAGCTCACCTCGAGGTTACCAATGTGGTCCTTGTCCTGCTGGTTTTACTGGCAATGGTGTTGAATGTGAGGATATTGATGAGTGTGCTTTGGCCAGTCCTTGTGCAGTTGGTGTTGATTGTACTAATCAGTTGCCAGGCTATTTTTGTGGGCCTTGTCCAAATGGTCGTCCAGGCTATCCAACTAGAGGGGTTGGAATTGATTTTGCTCGCAAAAATAAACAGGTAATTAGACTCACATGAAGATTAGTAAATCAAATATGATTTATTATAAATTGTAATTACCACAACCACGTTATACCACGTTAGATCTGTTCAATAGTAAATCCTTGTGAAAATGGTTCAAATGGAGGCTGTAAGCCTAATTCCCGTTGTATTTATTTGACCGCAAATCGCGTTATTTGTGGCGAGTGTTTACCAGGCTTTAAGGGTAATCAGTCTGTAGGCTGCTTTCCAGAGTCCATAAAAACTTGTCCTGATGGAGTTACATCGTGCCATTCAAATGCCTTTTGTTACAAAGTCAGATCAGAGGCCAAATATTCTTGCAGGGTAAGTGATTGCCTGATAAACGGTAATATCATCAAGTAATTTATCATAATTAAAATGGAAACAGTGTGAACCAGGATGGGCTGGAGATGGTCATAACTGCGGTATCGATACTGACATGGATGGCTGGCCCGATATTAAGCTTCCTTGTGAATCAACAAGGTGTAAACAGGTAACTTCTTTAACCTTAATCATTGACCATTATACTGTTTATGAAAAATTAAGATTTTATTGATTAGCGTTAAAACCAAAGAGTTTACTCTTTGGTTAAAACCATGAGATAGATACTGATACTAGTTGATATTTTAATAGATATCAGTTGTTTTGATTTTTTAATACAGTCCTTATTGAATGAAAATGTCAATTCTTAATTCATTCTGTGATTTTTTAACTAAAGTTTGGCCTTGATTAATAATCAAATTAACCAAACTTTGCTAATTTAAATTCAATTTCGTGAAAATCTTGCAAAAAACGCTGTCGCGCTAGTAACTATGACAATGAAACATTTAGGATAGTGATATGAGAATAGCGACTGTAACAAAAATTGTTTTTTTTCTCATTAATTTTTCAGGATAACTGTCCTTTGATACCTAATAATGGACAAGAAGATGCCGATTCAGATGGTAAAGGTGATATATGTGATGGAGATGCTGATAATGACGGAGTAATTAACAAACTTGTAAGTTGACTAAATTTAATCTAACCGTTTGGTGTTTTTTATCAATTCAAGCCAGTTCAAGTTTTTTTTACATACAATTTGGTTTTTAAATTCAACTTTTTTACCATAATTTATGCTCTTTTAATCAGTTTTATTTAGACTCTAATATATAATTATTATTAATTTAATATTTAGCTCACAAATTAAAGTTGAATTAATTACTATTGACTGGCTTTACAATTGAAGTGTGAGTTTTCAATTGAGAAACTTGTTTATGTTTAAATTCATTTTTTGTCCTCAAGGATAATTGTCCACTTAAAGGTAATCCAGATCAAAAAGATTTGGATAATGATAGTTTCGGCGACGTTTGTGACAATTGTCCAGCAGCATCAAATCCTAATCAACTTGATTCAGATTTAGATGGATTGGGTGACGTTTGTGACGATGATATTGACAATGATGGTATAACTGGATTAGCTGATAACTGTCCAACAGTCCATAACCCAGATCAATCAGATAGAGACGGTGATGGTCATGGTGATGCATGCGATAACTGCCCTAATCTACACAATCCTGATCAATCAGATGATGATAGAGATCTGGTTGGTAATGCATGTGAATCAACATCAGACATTGACTCCGATGGGATTCAAGATAATCGAGACAATTGTAGAACCATCTCAAATGCTGACCAATTAGACACTGATAGGGATGGTTTAGGGGACATATGTGACAATGATATTGATGGTGATGGATTGCCTAATTCATTAGACAATTGTCCATTAGTGTACAATCCTGATCAACGTGATTCAATACCAGGATCAGGTGTTGGGGATGCTTGTCGTAATGACACTGACGGCGATGGTATACCTGATTCAGATGATGTTTGTCCAGACAACAAATTTATCTATGTCACAGATTTTCGATCTTTTGCAACAATTCCATTAGATCCAGAAGGTGATTCACAGATTGATCCTCATTGGGTTGTTTATTCTCAAGGAGCTGAAATTGTTCAAACTCTCAACTCTGATCCAGGCTTGGCTGTGGGCTACCATGCATTTGCTGGAGTAGACTTTGAAGGAACCATGTTTGTTGAGGCCAACATTGACGACGATTACATTGGCTTTATTTTTAGCTACCAAGATAATCGTAATTTTTATACCGTCATGTGGAAAAAATCAGCTCAAACTTATTGGAGACCAACGCCTTTCCGAGCTGTTGCCTCACCGGGAATCCAATTGAAACTAGTTCATTCCTCGACTGGTCCTGGTAAAATACTCCGAAACTCATTGTGGCACACTGGCAATACCACCAATCAGGTAACTTTATTGTGGAAAGATCCACGCAATGTTGGTTGGAAAGAGCAAACTGCTTATCGATGGTCTCTCATTCATCGACCTAAAATTGGCCTCATCAGATTGAGGATTTATGAAGGAGACTTACTAGTCGCAGATTCAGGAAATTTATTTGATGACAGTTTGAAAGGAGGTCGATTAGGTGTTTTTTGTTTCTCCCAAGAAAAAATAATTTGGTCAGATTTGGTTTATCGGTGCAATGATCAAGTCCCCTTAATGATTTACAATCAACTGCCTAAAAGGACAAAAGACATGGTCTCTGTCGATCTCACCAAACCAACTGATATGAAGATGATCGGTGGTAGAGTTTGGTCAACCGATAATATTAATAACAATAATGACGACGACGACGACGATGATGATGATGATGAGGAATCAAATTTAATCCCAATGTAATTCATGACTATAAACTCTTATTAATAGTGAAATTAAATTCAACCCATGCAAAAGTTATTATTAGATGGTATCATTAACAATTTACATTGTATCTTTTATTGACCCTTTAACTGTGTTATTAAAAATATTATTACTCTTCCATAATGAAATTAATTTTTACAAATGATTAAGATGTTGACAGTCAATTGATGTTATTTCGTGTTTCAAGCTTCACTTCTGTTCTAGTTAACCATGTAATTGTTAACTAAAAATATTAACCTGACTTTAATGCTGAGAGATTAGACCCTAAAGACTTGAGTTCAATTTAAGGTTAGATTGTAATCACGGGAATAAAGTTAATCTTTGTTTTAATAAAAATTGTACATTAATCAACTTCAAATTAGTGTAATGAGTAAGAGTCAAAAGAACACAATGATTAAGTTAAATTATGCAAGATGATCAATCTTATAAACCATGTGTAAAAATCACATTGACTTTTAAAGTAGCTGTAACTTTGAAAGACAATACAATTCAAGTAGATTAAGGTACTTAATGAAGATACTGATTAAAGGCCTTAAAAACAAGAGTCAGGTTAATTTGAATGAAAACGATTGTAACAATAAATTAACCTCTAAATAGTGCAAAAATTACTTTTAATGACCAAAACTAACCAACAACTAATGGTAAACAAAAAGCTGTTAAATGATCCGATAACCTATTGGGTGATACTAGCAAGGAAATGCTAGTCAATTTTGAAATGAAAACAATTTGACAAAAATGCGTTTTTAATGGGTAAAGTCAGGTTCGATTGTTTCCCTGATTATGATTATGAACAGATCCAACATTTGTCATGGATAAATACAGACCTATAGAAAATGATGATTGTATCTTAAAAGCAATCATCATCATTATCATCATCATGTTGAGAAGAAGAAGAAAAATAAGAAAGCAAAGAGGCAAGGAAGAGGAAAAAAAGGATCTTCTTGATGTTGTCGTTTTTTTTGCCGTACAATTGAAAGGTAACATTAAGTTGAGAATGAAAAGGATAAAGAAGGAAAAGATGTTGATGAAAGCGATGAAGATGATGCTGACGATGATGACGACAGAGAGTAGGAGGAAGATGAAGATGACGATAAGGAGATGGTGATAAAGAAGATCTCAGAGGTGGTTCAATGATGCGCAATATCATATAGAAAGCAAAGTGAAACTGATTCCCATGGATGGAAGATTCACTGAGCCAAGTCATGATAAACATGATTAACATTATTTACAATCTATGGTCCAAATAGTCTTACATTGTAGACAATTGTTCTTTCTTCATTTTCCTTCCATCTTCTTCATGATCAGAAATGATGATATGTTTTATTTGTTTTGGTCAGTCAGCTAGAAAGATGGTTAAAGGTAATCTTCGCACGATCTTCCAATCTCCATGCTTCAGGTTACATGATAAGTTTACTGTTGTTGAATGAAATATCATTTTAGTCTAATATTCATCATAATTATTATCAAATCTTAAAGGAAGCTGATCTGGCCAGTCAACAAATGAGGCTTTGATGTTAGGCCTGAATATCATTTTTGGTTTAGTGTAAAGTAAAAGTGAGAAACTGATATCTATTCATATATTGAATCAAATGTAAATGAAATAATAATAGTAATGAGCCTTGATTAGTACGATTTTGATCATCGTTATCATCATCATCATTCAAAGGTAATAAGGAGAGTCTACTGGGAGGTGAGGTTAATGATGAAACTCGGAGGTCTGTTTGAATGAAGGCACGATTGTGTTGTAGTTGTTGATGGTGATCAAGATGATAATGATGATGTTGTCAGTGTTATTTGATTGTCATTCAATTGATGGATTACCTTTTACCATCAATTAAGGCGATCCAAAAAAAGGTAAAGGAATGGATGATGATGATGATGATGATGATAAAGAAGGAAACCTTTTTTTTCATCATCATTGGGAGTCTTTTTGCTTGTTGCTGAAAAGTTAAGAAACAGATAATATAAGAGCAAATTATTTGGTTCATCATCATGAAGATGATTATGGTGATGATGAAGGTGAAAAGTATTGAAAATAACAAGAGTAAGGAGGAAAAAAATGAATTCAACTGATGATGATTGAGATGAAAATGAAGAGGAAATATCCTTTTGGACTCAATCTTTTCATTGTCCTATTCACTGCCATTGTTAACCAACTATCGGACAATCTATTGATTATTACGAGTTAATTACTTGCTCTTGTAATCAGCCTTTAACGGTTAGGCCTGAAATAGGAAAAATGACCAAAAATTGGTTTTACTTTTCAATGTTTACCTTCATTTCAGGCCAAGTTTCGACTCCTTTTTTAGCCTTTCTTGTTCCAAAATTGTCAATTGTTGATTGCAAATTGATTCAGTTCAAATTGTAAGTAATTTGTCAATTTTTTAATCACTTAACTGGTAAGGTTGGCTGTTGATTTACAAATAAAAAAGGCTTAATCATTTTAACCTTTCTCTACTATTTTTATTGTCCGCCGTGAGTTAATCAAGTTTGTTCATTATCTAATGTCAAAGAACTGTGATTTAACTTTTTTCATTTGATTATCGGATTAGTTGATCTATATTCTGATAAACTCAATTGTTTTGATAATACACTGCTACAGGTTAATTCAGTTAAATATTAGGTTGGATGAGATTGAATTTTACGTCCTTTTTTCACTTCTTCTTACCTTGGATTACAATTTTATTTCAATTTAATTCCAATTTGGATTTCAATTAAAGTCTATTGAACCATATAGTTTGATGATCAAGATTGCTGATGATTAACCATTTGGTGTGAATTTGACATACTAATAAAGCAATAGATTTGGGTTGAGGTAAAAGTTGGTGCAAAAAATTGTATGATCAAACAGTTAATCAAAAACAAATTAACTTCAATCAAATTATTAACACATTTGAATTTGATTTTTTGTCTCTTTTCACTTTACAAATCTTTAATAATCTCAAGTCAAGCTATTGTTTAAGATCAAAACTGTTGACCAGCTGTAATTAGATACTTTTCCCTTGAAAGTGTTGCCTTTTTTTCTTGGTTTAACTCAGAAGCAGCAATTTGTTTCACACAAGTCATCAATTTATCAACAATCAAATTGTTTTCTAATCATTATTTATCCTTTGATCATTTAATTATCTTGATAAGTTAACTGTCTACTTAGTTGATTGTTTGATTGATGATGAATCCCATGAAATACTTTGTCAAGTGTAAATCATCTTCTCACTTTAACCAATAATCATTTTTCATTCTGTTAACAACCATATAATGGTCATAATGATACTTTTCCGATGGCCAAGTTATTAATCATTTGCTCCTTCAAGTTCAACAAGTCAATCTTTTATATTTATTAATACCATGAGTAAATTAATACGCACTCCGGTTGTAAGTCAATTCAGACTTTTACGTTTCATTGTGTATCATAAAAACCTGTTATACCTGTAAGTCATGAAACATCGTGAAAAAGATCTGATTGTTGTTTGTAAGATCAGATCACTCACAGGTTTATCCGACTATTATTTATCAACAAAAAGCCTCTGGTCAAGTATCAAAGTACACCCATCCAGTAGTAAATACAAGAGGTCAGGAAAATTACATCAATCAATATGCTCATCCATGTACTTGTATATCCATCATGTAACATGTAAATATTATCAGGTCAACGTTAAACGTTATGAGTCCAGAAATTAACTTGAACACTGCTTTCGGTTTTTCATTACCAGATAAATTATTTATCGCCACCATGAAATACCATTACATTGAAATTGGCTTTAAAATGTAGCACAACAATAAACAGGGACAATCCAGCTTTGTCTTGTGTTTTATTTACACTGCACCGAATGGTGTTTAATAGCCTTTAACTTGACTCCATTGGAAATACTTGAGATTAACCATGATCTGCACTTCCATTGATCCAACTTGTCTTGACTTTAACTTCATTTGAGCGATCGATCATTTGACCCAGTTATAAAAGTTAAATGGTGATTGAAAAAACGTGTTCCTAAGATATAGGGATATGTGTAAGAAAGAAAAGAAAGAAAACAAGACAAAAATTAGTGAAATGAAAAAAACTCAATGTCTCTGGGTATGTGATATCAATCACTTATGCAAATTATTTTTGAATAGCTTACCTATGAATAGTTATTTTCCTCTGAGCAATGCTTTTCTTTGTTTCCTCATGATCCTTGTCTGTTGAGTAAAAATAATAGGATAAACACCAGACGATACATTAATATGCATTAACACTTTTTTTAACCTTTTCATTTCTTTTATCCAAGTCTTACCACTAAACTTACCTTTAGATTATTTGATTCTTGAAGCTATACAAAGGTAAATTAAACACAAAACCAAATTAAAATATTTAATTTACTCCAAATATTAGTATAATGTCCACAATACAAAGCGACTACTTGCACAAACCAAAAGAGAATCTTAATGTTTTGTTTCACCCCTTGTTAACCGCCATTGAACGGTTTATCGCGCTCTTTACAAATCATTACATAAAGATATTGTGAACCATCAATAAAAAGATGAATAAATATGAATATTAAATTGCTTTGATTTATTAACTTGTTTTCATTCAAGGTTCCTCTGAAATATCCTGATCAAACATGGCTCTTCAATGAGGATATGATTGAACACGGAACCTATTGATCCTTCCTTGGTGGCTTGAACAAACTAAACGTTGGAGCTGTTTTAAGGTGATAATGAAAATTGAAAGTCGAAATGAAACAGAATAAAGAATGATAATTTTTAGCATAAATATAAAGTGAAAATATGTAAATTTTTTGTAATTTACTGTAACTCTGTATATTGTACTCAGTTAACCAAACTTGTGGAGGGTTAACCAGGGGGTTCCTAAAGTCACTGAGCTATACAAGGGTCAATCCTGAAATAAATGTTTCACTCAGCATGATTCACAAAATTATCAAAAATCATTACAAGAAATACATATTTTACATAATTACATCCAAAGAAATTACAAATATTGGACATTCTTTCTTCTCCATTTCATTTGACAAAACTGTCCTCTTCAAGTGGTTTCAAATGACCAGCCAAGTCTGTTCACCACCCAATATTTCAATCCGTCTTCGTTGACTAACATCTGAATGGTCAGTCTTGAACCAAAGTCAAGATAAATATTCTGCTATTTAAAGTCTTCACTATTATTACTCTCATCATAATCATCACCTTCATCTTCATTGTGGGAAATAGATTCGCTTGAGTAAATTTTACTCTAGAAATGCTGAACAAATCCATTCAAAAGTGTTTCTTACACTTATTTCAGTCTATTTTAAACGCAAGAATGATTAACTTGAATCAAATTGAACAGAATAGATTGAATTAACTGATAGTTAAGAGTCATAAGATACAAGAAGTGTTAAATGTTGATAGGTTATCACACAATAAATAATGTCAGTGAAAAAGGTTATAATTATTAGTAAAAAAGTCGCTTCAAGAGTTAACTCCACAGTCAACATCAAAATCAAAACGAAAGCTAAATCAGATCAGGATTGGATGAGAAAACATTTTAATCTAAATAATTGTTCAAACTGAATTGTCCCTGAATCACAACTTGTTAACCTTTCAGCTATTACAATCTGGCAATAATAGTGATGAAAGTAGTCTTAGGAAAAATCTAGTAATGGATGTTATTCAGGTTGATCAGAAATATGATACAAGGTGAAGACTGTTAGGTACATTAGGTTCCTATTCTTGACGATATTTTCATTGTAAAATCGATTAAATATGAATTAAAAGTAATTATCTGTTTAAAAAGCAGTCCATCTGTATTGTAAGTCATCTATTATGTTTGAAAAGGGAAAGTTTCTAGGATATCAATCATCTATGAACAACATTTAATCTGTATTCAATCAGCGCGCCAATTTATGCGCTACATTGGTAAGCAACAGTAACTACAAGATGATTTTTGTTGTTGTTGAATTTTATATCAAAAATTATAAAGCCTTTTCACTTTCTAGACAATTTATTTCTACTCTATTAATTCCAAGTATCCTTTCTTTTACACTTACACTCTTTATGACCTTCACCTATGTGCACTTTGTTATCACCTTACGGTGTCAGGTCAATCAAACCTGATGACAAAAAGCTGAGATCAACCTTTAATCGGCTCTAGACGCGTCTTGTGTATCTACATCTCTACATTTACCTGCTTATGCACGGATCTTCAGTGTATTTACGGTTCTATCTCCGTGTTTATTTATGTGTACATTTATTATGTGGATCTGTATATTTGTAAAGAGCAGCAAATTGTTACATCCCTTGGATCAAGTAAACCTTACAAATATTAAATATCACCAATCTTTTTTTTTACTTAACAAAAAAGGATCCTCTAAAAGATCTCAAGTTAAGTTAACATTTAATCCTCATCGATCACTTTTATCATAACCATTTGGAGTTTTTCAAGATGAAATAAACTAAATCATCGAAAATATCACAAGCATCAAAAAAGGACCAAATATGATGATGATGATGATGAGGATGAAGAAGAAAAAAATAAATAACAAAATATAACTAAAAAGGATGCTTTTCCCTACTAAAAATCTCAACTTTTACTTAATAATCAGAGCAACAACACAAACAACAACTAGACTTTCTCGAAAACTTTTTCATCATTATCTTCATCTTTTCTCATTCTTTCCCTTTCTTTTATCCACCCTTATCTTCACCCACCCACCATGTTTCTTGAAAGAAATCACTTATACTCTACTTCATCCATCACAAGCTTAATTTTCCGTGCAATTCCGATTGATTTTCAAATAACCAATGTTTCTGTTTCAGGGTATAATACTTTTGCTTCTTCAACCATCTAACTCATTTTTATAAACTTATTATCAACAGACTAATCACCATCATAATTATCAATAATCATTTGATCAACTTTGGTAACTATAAGGAGGCTGGAAAAGATAATTACTCGGAATTTGCACCTCAACTTGGAAATCTTGTCCAACTGAATGGAAATTAACCCGATATAAATCGATACAACCCAATACAACCCATTATTCAAGCTTCTCTGTCTTCTGGCTTATGTACAATGGTTTTATAAATGATCAAGATTGGAGTTTTTTTGGAATATCATGAACCAGTTGAATCAACGAATGATTGGTAACATTAGTTTAAATTTGAGTGAATGTCAGAGAGAATAAGATTTTGGATTAGATTTGTGGTTTGACTTGGTTTTGTCACTTTAGACGTTTTGTTTACTCGTTTTTTCCCTCTATTTCAGTTACATGGATTGGTTTTGATTCTTGTTTGAGTTAAACTTGAATACAGAAGACGGAAAAAAACTGAAGCTGAAAAATTGTCAAGGGATGTACATTACGATGAATTGGTCCTGATTTGACTTGAAATTTGCTTCAAGGAAAACTTTGACTTTTCATATGATCGATTGAAGATCAATTGTAAATGTCATTTGATCTCTTCTGATTTAAATCTGTCTTAGCATCATCATCATCATCATCATCTACTTCTCTCTTCCTTTTCAAGTCTTATTCAAGTCTTAATCAATTCAACATGTCTTTGGTATTACATTCAAATGATTTTACCAATTGGTTAATGTATTCGTCAACACTTAATCAATGAGAATCTTGTTGAAAGGCGAAAATGTGGTAAATCTACAGAATTTTTTGCTGTTGGTTTACTTTGAATCATTTGCAGACCTTTGGACAGCTGACGAGGCTAATGGCTTAAACAGTTTAACTGATTAACATCAAACGAGTTGACAATTTGAAGGCAATTTAAAGGCTAATTAGCAGACAGGAAATTATTAATCATTTGCAAATAATTTAAGAATTAGCTTTCATTTTTGTATTTGGCTATTGCAATATTTAACATGGAGCATCAAACAGTTATCAAAAACAGCTTTCAAGATCAAGCCAATGAACCAGATTAAGACGGAACCCACTCAAGTTAAACCTGATTTCACTTAAATCACAGATTAAGGCTGGATCCAAATTTTGTCAAATCAAATGTGTTAACTTGTAAACAAAAGGTGAACAAAAAGTTGAAATTAACTTGATTCGAGCTAATGGTTTATTTACACAAATGTTGGATGCAAAAAAAACCAAATGAAGAATGGAAATGATGAGGATTCAGAGAGAGATAAAAGGAACTTCTACTGAATCTTGCTCATCTTCAATCAATCCCAAGAATTGAATGAGAAGACGTTGTTTCTAATCAGTCACAATTAGATGGTGTTTATGAGTAAAGTACAGAAAAAAATCAAACTAACTCAATCACTAATCATATAATCAGCGTCTCATATATAAAAAAACGTTGTTACCTTTGAAACAAATGAAAAAAATAAACTCAGTAATGACTTTAATCAGGTAAAAGTGCAAATCAGGTCACACTTTTGATTGAGAAGTTAATTGAAAATTTAATTTGAAATAAACAACAGCAAATGACTCAAGTCAATTACAATTGAACCTATTATTACATAAGGAATGAAAGACAAAGCGCGCAAATTGAATGAACTGAAAATAATTAGCTCATTACTTGACTTGATTATCCAGGATAATTAATGTCCACAATCCATTTAAAATCAATTTAATCAACCATTGGAAAAATTAAAAGATTAATATTGAATAAAACTAAATATTGTTGGTATAAAATGTGAATCAATTGATGGATTGTTTCCATTGAAAGATTAGGCTTTTCAAAGCAACAGATTTCACTTGAAACATTTTCTGATTGCTTATCAAATATTAAAGCTTCAATGTTTTAATTATTTTTTTTTTCTTGTGAATGTTTTCGGATTAAAGAGTGATTAATAATGAATAAGACTGATGATGAGCTAATATATAACAATAATGTTACTAATGAAGAGATTAAAAATGAGGCGCGCAAAAAAAATGGTGAAAAATATTTGCTCAGCTTCAGAAGTGATCAACTATTGATCTTGAATGACAAAAGGATGAAAGATAATCATGAAAAAGCAAATGTTAACCTCCCTTTGGATTGAAATTGAGTTGTGTGATATGAAGATGATTATGAATGATGAGTGGAGGGAGGAAGTTGGATTAGCATGAGCCTCTGTGTCTTGGTGGGTCTAAGATTAAACAATACAACATAACAATTATTATTTGCAACTTAACCCACCCAATGATGATCATCTTTAATTTGTGGTTATAATATTATGCCAAACTTTATCTTCATCATCATTTTTTGATCATCTCTTTGTCTCTCTCTTCATTATGGAATTTACAATGATTTTCCATCTTCCATGTTGATCTTTATTTAGCGTGTAAGTATACAGGAATCTTGAGTTAGTCGTTTTTTTGTGTGTGTTTTTGTATTCATCTTATTACTTCATCTTCCTTTCACCTTGATTAACGCTTTAAATCACCTTGTCTCATCTTTTCCTTGATACAAAAACAACATGTTACTTGATCATCATCATCATCCTCATCCTTTTGGTGCTTTACCTAAACTCTGGGTTAACTAAATTTACCCAATTAGATTGATGAGCCCAATGGGGTTTCCCATTTACTGTGTCTTGTATCCATTATTTTTATGTAATATTTATGTTTGTGAATGGAGGCAAAACGATCAACTTTTATAAATTAAGCTTACATGATCAGGATTTGATTAAGGTTTACCAATTAAAGGAGCATCTGAGGATCCGAGAATAAAAAAATAATTAAACCACAAAAGATTAATGAGATGGGTTAAGTTACACATTGTTAACTTGATTTATTCATTGACATCGTAATGATCATTTGACACTAGCAGAATTTGCTTATCCGCTAATTGAAGCTTGATTAACGCTGAATTTACAATGATCAGACTAATATTTTAAGACATTAAAATCTTTTCTAACACATTACCCACCAATTAGTGCCATGCTTAATATATCATAGGTAATCAGTTCAAGTAATTGGTCTGTAACGTTTTGAGTGACAATTATTCTTGGTTTTCAACTGACGATATAAATCAGATATGAGTATGAAAATGGTTACAAGAAATAGATGAATGATGATGTGAATAGATTGATAGGAATGGATTGAACAATCGAGAGCAACTAATTTGTTGGATATCCGATGAATGATCAAGAATAATGTCCAATAAACAACATGGTTGATGTTTCCAAATGTTGAGAAGGAAGTTACAGAAGATTTTAGGAGAAGAAGATGAAGATGAATAAGATGATGCTGGTGAGGATGATTATCTTGAAGATGATAACTTTTTGTCCAATGGATCAGAAAAGAATAGAAATGATGGGTTATGGGACAAAAAAGATCCAAAGAATCGAATTAAGTATCAATGTTGAATGTAAAGATGCATCTTTTGGTTCTTATAATTTTTTTTGCACCTCCAAATTGTTCCTCCTTATCCCTGTGATTTCGTCTTCATCATCATCACCATCATCTTGTCTTCTTCACTGGAATATGAAAGAGTCATTTTTGAAAAGAAGATAAGAGTGAGATCGAGAAAAGAAAGGCAACGTAAAAGAGAGACTTTCTCCTCTGGCCTCTCCCTTGTTGCCAGTATTTGACAATGATTGATGACATAGTCGATGTTTCATACGAACTGTGTACAACTGTGTGTGTATGTGTGTGTGTGTGTGGATGTGGATGTATGTGTATTGATTAGGGAATCACAGTCAAGTTGCTTGCTTTTGCTTTACAACCAAAGAGTATAAACACATCTTTTATTTTTTTTGACTTGCTTCTTCCTCTATGCTCGTTACCCTGAGTTTACTTTCTTTTCCAGTTGCTTTTTGCCTTTTTTCTCCTTTTCCCTCATCATCTTTTATATCAGCTTCCTTTTGCTTTCCTTTTTCTTATCCTGATTACTTCTGATTTCTTGTGATTCCAACTTCACCAAACCTCCATTTCATTTCTCTCCTTTTTCGCCTTCCAATTGATCTTCTTGTCGGCTTTCTCCTTCTTTATCCACTTTTCCTTATGTCTCTCTCCCTTTCTTTATCATCTCGATTATCATTTCTACATTCTTTTCTTCTCCACCTCATCATCAGCTTTTTTCCATTGCATTCACGACACAGATCTATCATTATCATCACCATCGCCATCCTCATCTTCATTTCCATCATCGCCATCATCACCATCGTTGTAATCATTACCATTATTCCATGTTTTCTTTTCATCTTGTTCTTTTCAATTAGCATAGTCTTTGGCGTTGTCATTGTCGTCTTTAAAAATAGATCTTGTCGATTTTCAGCATTCAATTTTATCAGTCAGGTTCGTTTGGCTCATAATATCTTGTCAATTTACTGTCTTTGTATATGTTTGGTTCTTTATTAACTTTAACTGCATCCTTGTCAAAGTTACTAGAATTATAAAAAAAATCATGATAATTGATTACATTTTTATTCTTTAACATAAATTGATAAAAAACGAGTCTATTGTTTGCATCTTAGACAAACTTGGGGGTAATGAGGCTAATCAATGATAATATCAATCTGGCATTCCCTCGGAGGTTAAGACCTATGAAAGAAAGGAGTTGCATGAGCAACAAAAATAAAGGGATTTAAGTTGTTGCTTAAAACAACAGTTATTTTGAAAAAAGGTTAACTCGGTTTTCTGAACATAATAAATCATTTTCAATAGCTATTCAATAGAGACGGAAGAAATAAATATTGTGAATAAATTGCGAAGTGGGTCAAGCCGCCTGTTAAGATTTTAACTCAAAAACTTTAAATGAGTTCAATGTTCATTCGCGTTATGCTAGGAAAATTCAAAACTCAGCCAGTTTCAGGGAAAATCAGAATTTTGAATTTAGTACTAGTTTCATTTAACAAAAGTTAAAATAAGGTTCCAGTGAAAACATCGATGAAATTAAAAATTGAATTTTTGACCATCTTTTGACATTCAATGCTTTTTAGACCCAAGTGGATAACACACGATTTTGAATGAAGAGCTATTGTTGACGGTTTCACGAGTGGTATGAAGAAAAAGACGATATCTCTAAAGTAGATTAAAAAAATTATCCATTATCTCGAATGAGAAGAATTCTTTTCTTGAATTATGAAAAGATAAAGGAATTTTGCTGGAGCAATGTAAGAATTCAAACAGATCTGTATAACCGAGTGGTATGAAGAAGAAAAAGACCATGTTTTAACGATATCTCTAAAGTAGATTTATTACTTAGCTATGGAATACACTTTTACATATCCTTGAATTGACAAATTAAACTTTGTATCCAATAAGGGATCGTTTTCCAATGATTTCACCTACGAAAAACCAACAAATAACTTCAGCTGTGATAATAGCATTGACTAATCCTTCTCTAACAGTAACTCGAGCCCATCTTCCAGTGGCAGCTCCTTTGATCAATTTTCCAGCATCTCTGAATATTTGAGGGATTTCTCCTGGGTGAGGAGGTGCCAATTCAACCTTAGCATAGTGCATGAAACGATTGAGATTAGCATTGACAACAGGCTTAGCCTGGTTGACCACTATAATTAAGAAAAGAAAATATTAGAAAACCAAACCATTAATGAAAGCTCATATGAAGATAGAAAAATAGAAGTGCTGGTTTGCAAATCATCACATAAATATATTGAGGTATTATTTGATTAAAATCAATGGGTTATAATTAGTTTCAATCTACTTACGTTGAGGTATTTTAGCAGCAAGTTTGCTCATCTTTAGAATTGAAACAATTAAAACAATCAATCAAAAATTACAATCAACCAGCAACTTTGAGAAGGTCAACTGATGCAGTATTTTTTACTTATTATTTTACTTGAGTTTTCTTTTGCTCGATAGAGGGCAGTATCTGATGAGCAGTATCTGATGAGCAGGCTCGAAAATTCAAATTGCTTCCCGTGCACAATAAATTCAATTTTCAATTTTCAAGAACAGAAAAGTTGAAATCAAATATTTTATTTAAATCGAAGCTTAAAAGACTTGAAATTAAAGTACGAAAAGTATTAATTTTATGAATTTTATTTTATAATGAACACTTAGTTTTAAATTATTTTGTTAATAAACTCTACAATTTTTACAAAAAGCTTCTATTTTTAAAGATTGCAATTCAATTATGATTATTTTTCTGTCGACTTTCCACTTTGAGCTTTATCATCATCTGAGCTCTCACTTGAGCTATCAGAGCTTTCAGAGCTTTCTGAACTTTCATCGGAGTAGTCTTGCAAAACAATTCCATTCTTGGTTATGATCTCTTCCAAACGGTCACTGAAAAACAAATGAGATACATAAATGAATAAATTAAAAACGAAAACAATCAAATGGAGACAGGGAAATAACTTACAGCAAATTTTGTGAAGCATTGTTCTTCTTGCACAAATGAACTACCCTTGATAGAACTGAAACATCATCAAAGGCAACAGTAGTTTTCACTATTTCAACAATGTCTTTTCCACTTTCGAGTTCAATAGCCATATCAACCAGATTTCTCATAGTTTGGAGTCTATAAATATATACATTAAATAAATTGAATTAGATTGAACCTTAACTTAAAAACAAACACAAATGATAGGAATAATACTCACGATAATGGTCCATTAATTGAATTTTTCAATTGTCTAAGCAGACTCAAGACATTCCTAATCTTGTTTAAATCTTTATTATTTGACAAGATTTTCAAGCTATTATCAAATATGGTCACGTCAAAGCTGGAAAAAAATATTGAACAAGATATAATAAAGTAAAACTGATTTTAAAAACTCTGATTGATAGTTACTTGGCTAGTTCTGATGCATTCTTTTGGCTTGTTTTACTCTGGATGACACGCATTATGTCAAGCACGGTATTATTAACGTGTTCTTGGATTTCTTTCGGGTACTCTTTTCTTGAAAGAATATTCAAAAATTTGGTGATATTTTCCGGTGCTATGTAATATTCAAGAAGAAGAAAATCGGAGCAAACTTGAGGTATGTAACGATCAGCTTGATACAGTTCAATTGCTTCAATGAGCTCAATGAAGGTTGACGAATCGGGCACATAAATATTAGGAACAAATTTATAGTAGGCTTCCATAGTTTTATCGATTGATTCGCTCTTTACTATAAGCTTGAATAGATTATTGCTAAGAATAGAAAAATTATTTTAGAAATTAAATTTGTAAACAAAGTTATGTTAAAAGAAATATTTACAACACTTACTAATAACGGAATTCAAACTCCGTTGAACCAAGTAGCAAATAATTTTGATGAGATGAAACCAATGAATGTAATTTATAAGCAAGCTGAATATCGGACAATGAATTGCAAATTGACATGGCATTTGAAAAGAAAAAGTCTGTGACAAGAAAGATAGAATTTTGAGTTTTTAAAATTGAATTATTTTGCTATCAATAAAGTTTTTATAATTACCATCCTTTTCGTGGCGCATAGAAAGCTTTTTATTTCCCAGTTCATTCAGGATTTCTTCTATTATTCTTGGACGGGCATTATTTCCATTAGCGAAAATTCTTAGTAAATTATTATAAACACTTAAACTTGGTTCGATGTTACAGCGCTTCATTTCTGCCATTAGTCCTCTAGCCTTATCTCGAACTTCACCAGTAGATTTGCATCGTGCAAGGATTTCGAAAATATTAGCAAAAGTTTCAAGATTGGGTGGGATTTTATGGCCATTCATTTCGCTGATTACTTGCATAATTATTGACCATCTATTTTCGAACGATTGACCACGGATAGCAGCAAGAATTAAAGCATTGTAGCCCTCAACAGTAAGAGATAAATTATTCTCTTTAACAGCATCGTGAAGCTGTAAAGCTCTTTCAATCGCTGAATGTTTGCAAAGACCAGCGATCATTACACTATAAGCTCTACCATCTTTAACTGACAACGAATCAAAAACTTCAAAAGCAAAATCTGAAACCCATATCGAATCTGCAGGTCTTTCTGAAACAAATTTTTCTCGCAAATCTGTATCTGGGGCTTCAAGACTATTGAAAAAACAAACAATTTCAAGTAGACTTATTTTTGTAGCATCAGTTATTGTATTTCCTGCAGCTTTGATAACTTTGAATGCTGTTATTGCATTGTCGATTTGATGATTTTTTATGGCTGTTAGTAAATCCTCTTCGTTCAAGTCCATTGATTCGTCATACAATTCTTTGAAGTGAAATGCTTCAACTTTAGGCTCAGCTTCATCCCGGATGAAAAATTGAGGGAATTCTTTCATAAAATATTTCGCTGCTTTACGACCAGATTCTTTTGATAGACTATAGACTAATTTGTGGTATCTATTATTCGGTATCAAATATGGATCATCTATAAATTTAAAATGAGCAGCTGTTGGATCCTAATAGCAAGAGAAAATAGAATTAATATGAGACCGACAAGATAAGTAAATAATACTAACTGTTCCAACAGTAGATGAAAGTGCCTTCAGAATATCGGTTTTATCCCTTGAAAAAATGAATCAATTAGGTTAAAATTTTGAAAACAATTATCCTCACAAGTTTCATCAGGAACTCACCTCGGTATTCGCTTTGGTATTTTAATTTGAGTCAACTCGCCTTTTTCATGGTGCATAAAACGATTGAAACCAACATTAACAACCGGCTTAGTCTGATTGACCACTATTTTTTGAAAAAATAAAATAAATAATTAGCTTCAGAGTAATGCATTAAACTTAAAAATAACAGAAAGCATTGATTTTAAAATCAAAACATGGATCTGTTTAGATAAGTAGCTTTTGTAGCTTTTGCTTGATATAGAAAATATATTTGTATTATACTTACATAGAGGTATTTTAGTAACAAGTTTACTCATCCTAGCAAATGCAACAATTTGAATCAAATAAACTAAAACTACAATTAGTTAACTACAGAGAAAAGGTCAACATCATGCTGAATATATTATTTTTATTCAGATTTCTCAAACTCTCAATAGAGGGCAGTAGTAAATTAGCCATCGACATGTCATTAAGCAGTGTTTTTACCTAAATTGTGATTAAAACTTGGTCTAATTGTTGGTTAATGGCACGAGAATTTTGTTTAATATATCAAAAGTTGATTTTAAATTGCTACATTCAGGCAACTGCATACAAGAAAAGTTTTTAAGAGGATTAAAATCAAGATAAAACTTAAACAATGAACAAATTAATAAACAATTTAATTATTTAATGATTTAATTCCTAGTTACATTTGGTATTTGTGTTGTTCGTAATCTGCATACTTTATCAGCAAGAAAATTCATAGTACATTATATTTTCAGAATGTCTGTTACCCAGAGTAAAGGCTATATTTTTCATCCATTAAAGATTTGCATTTAAAGCTTCATTTATAACGATGCGACTAGCTAATATTGTTTTAAGTTATGATCAACATTTCTTCTCAACTTTACAGTGTTTTTTAATTACAAATATTGGTGTAAGATTAAAATAGTTTGAAAGTCGTTGGTTAGTTTTTTTAATCCATATGGTTTACTATCGACCTACTGGAATTGGTTTAGTTGAGCAATTTTGTATTGAAACAACGTCTCCAGCAATATTAATTAAACATTGGGCCTGATAGAAAAATAGAACAAAAAAATGTTAGCGATTTGATAGCAATTACACAAAGTTGAAGACAAACCTGATTCTTGTGCGGATTGTGAACGAGGACACATTGGGTTAGATGAAGAGAAACCATGGCGTTACCACTCAGACTTGCCACATGAGCTCGAACAATTGCAAATACTTCGCTTAGAAAACTATGAATAAAACCGTTAAGACCGCCGCTTTCACGAATACTAGTGGTTTCACGAATAAAAAAGAAATCTAAATTTCCTAAATATTTTTGAATATGAGACCCAGGAACATAACTTAATGGTGTTAATTCAATTCCATTTGATTCAGATATTGTTTCAGAAGGAATAAAATTTTCCTTTTTCATATCATCAATTTCATCTGGATTTGGACCATGATCTTCATCCATTGTGAATAACAATTCATCACAGCTATCATTTGCAGAAAGAGTTCGTCGTCTTCGATATGTTGATGACGCAGGTAAGTAAAGGTTTCCTTTTCCAATGGGACCAAGAGAGGATGATCCGACAATTCCAATAGCACTACCAAGAACAGTAACTTGTACTAAATCTTGTTCAGGTAAATCAACGTGAAATTTAATATCAGTCAGGCAACAAGGTACAAGGCGACGGAGTTTTACAAAAAGTCCTTGGATTATCCAATCAAACTGTTGACCAAATTGTTTAATAGCTATCAGCTTGACTCTATGAACTTGAGCAAAGGTTTGTAAAACGCCGGAAAAACAGCCAGACAGACCGGGCATAGTTTCAGTATTACAAATCTCATATCCTTTGGGTACATCAGAGTCAATCATCAGCGATATTATGTCTGCATCTTCAGTATCATCAACCTCCAAGACAACACAACCATCTTTACTTCCCAAAACTTGATCAAGAACCGGATCTTTAACTTTTTTCAAATAATTGTCAACATATTCTGCTTCATTATCGCTGTCTGAAGCTTTTGTTCCGTTTCGCTCTTCTTCTCCTTCCGAAGGTTCACGTTCCTCTACTGGAATGTCTGTTAAACCATAATGTTCACGATTTCTGGACATACTTTCTAAAATTAACTTCTGGATAGCGTTCAAATCAGTAGTTTTCACTCCTTTACCAGATGATATTTGTGGAGGATCGGGAGGAGGTAAGGCACCTACATAAGCAGCAGTTCCAGTCTGTAAATCAAGAGAAAAAAAAGAAGCATGAAAGAAAAGTCAGAGATGATATATTACTTTGGAAATGAGCTCAATGTCAACCTAATTGCGATACAAGAAAAAATTATTAAACTTACAGCCAAAGCAATTAGCATGTTCTCTCCAAATGATATTTGTACTTTTAGACCGAATATTGCATTCATCCCTTTAACTTTAACTTTACTTAAAAGTTGTCGATGTAATTCATGCTCAAGAAAAGGAAGACTCTGAAAGACAAAAGACAAAGAAATGAATTATTAATCATTGTAAAGGATCCAAAAAAATAAAAGAGATTCAATTAATTAAAAAAGAAAAAGTCGCCTGATTATTTACATCACTGAGCTCTTTGGCACATTGTTCCCCTTTACTATCTCGCTTATTACGGCAAACTCGAGCTTGGATTAGACAACCTCGGCCCACAATGGGGATGTTATTTGGAGGTTCAATAGTCATGAACAGAACATCCGAAACTTTGGCTTTCTTACAAATTCTACAATTTAACAAAGATGAATGAAACGGTACACTTGATTCAGGGTAAGGTATGTGACAAATACTACAATTTGGTGATGATGATAAAGATGGTGGCAATGAAGGTGATTGTTGATAGTCTGAAGTTGAATGATTTCGTGTTGATTTGTTTGCTTCTCCTTTATTGGCTGAAAGAGTCGCTGAAGATGTTGATGTAGGTGCTGTTGTTGAAGTTCCTGTGGATTGATTAGTTGATGATGAGTTGTTTTCAGGGTCAATTTTTCCCGCTTTATCCTGAGTGGAACTTCGATTCGAATTGATAAATTGGGCATGATCACCACCACGAGATAAAACAACAGCTGTTCCACTTGCTGATAGTATGACAACATTATCACTGTAACCAGGAAAACAGAGAACAAAGTTAAATTATATTTTCGAGAGAAATCCACAAAAAATAATCAAATACTATTATAAATACAATGATTAACAAACCAAATATAAGTTGCTTCCGAGTAGCCTAAAACTGCATTACAAGTCAAACTTCGGCAGTGACTTCTAATCTCTTTTCTCAATTCCATCCACCAAGCATCTCGAGTCTCTGGATCCTCAGGACAGTTTATGTGATCTAGTAATTTGACTGAGCGAGATGAAACTGTACCACCAATGTTAGCAATGAATCCAGGAGGAAATTGTCGCATAGTAATAAATGGATATTCCTGTAAAAAACAATCAAAAATTTACAGTTAAATTTATCATTGTTCATCATATATTGTTCAATTGTTTTATTCAACGTTGCCAAGTGAATTTTTAGATTCAATTGCATAACAAATGCTGTAACTAAAACTGAAAAACTTTTGAAATCTATTTTGAGATGTAAACTGATGCTTCTAATACACCTTTCAAAGACAAGCCGTGGAAGTTCAACCTTTTAAGGTTACAACCTGTATTTATACAAAAAAAATTAGATACATTACGAGCATTACAGCTGTTTATCAAGCAAATCTTATTGTTTGCTTTCTCTGATCTTTGATTAGTCGTCAATTCTCAATAGTTAATGGTTAGGTTGAATAGCGAAAAGTCCCAACGATTTCTTATAACTATCGTAAGCATTGCTTAAAATCTTTTTTAAGTCTCCAATTCTTCTGGTTTAAATTGTTTTAGCAATTAAAAGAAACAAAAACCTGGTTCATACAAACACATAAGCCAAAGTAAATAATCTTAAGTTTGAAAATATTATTCAAATTATTAATAAAAGGGAATGAATCAGAAATGATTAATATCTTAAATGAACAGTTAATTTACAAGATTTAAGTAAGAGCAAAAAAACTTGTAAACTCTAATGAACTCTATCTATTTTTAGGTTACATTTATTACTAGATGCTTTTGAACCTCAAAGTATAGCATTTCAGTTTTGAGTTTGACAGCTAAAATACAGTTATTTTTTGTTGATGCATATAAAGTTACAAAATTTGATCTAATATGAAGCAAGCTTGAAACAATTTAGGTATTACTTACAAGAAGATGAAGATTTTCCGGAGAAATCATGAATTTAATATTGGGTTTACCGATACTACCACAAGTACTACTATGACTACTACTCGGTTTGGTTGGAGTTGTCGAGAGATCAGGATCAGAAGACCCTCGTCCGAATTGTCCTTTGCTTGGTGATCCATATTTATTGTTTACCAATGTTGATGAGTTATTGGTAGCACCAGCTATGTGCTCAACTTCATTGTTATTGTTTTGTTGATAATGCTGGTTATCCGAGTTGACAATATTAACTGAAGAGGAAGGTGAAAAGGACTTGGGTACGGGCATTGAATCCTTAGTGGCATTATTGGTGTTAGGTGCATAACCGCCAGGGATTGTAGCATAGCTGTTGGTTATTATGTTAATAGACGAGCCATGGTTTGTCTGATTAATCATCGGGGTGGTCACTGGTGCATTGGAAGATGGTAGAGATGATGGTAACCTGGGTGATATTGAAAATTGATGAGATGAGGAAGTTGAGTAGAATAGTGATGGTGATGGTAATTTATCTACGATTTCAATTAAATCCTCAAAATCATTACAGTGCGATGAAAGCCAGCGGGAAGGATGATTGACATTTGAAGAAGATGTAGCAGCAATGTTAGTTGTTGCAAGCGAAGTTAGTGGAGAAGGTGATACAAGAGGATGGGTTGATTCGAAGGTGAAATATCTATCACTAGAGGAGGATGCAGGTAATATAATGGAGGGTGTTGTGGCTAATTGGTTAGTGGATAAGTGGAAATTTGATGGAGTTGTTGGTTGAGAAGCAACTCGTTTTAAAGTTGGCTTACTTGGGGGTAAAAATGATCGAGAGGAAGATGAATGACGCTGCCGTTTCTCTGATAAAACATCAGTTTCAGCATCTTTCGATAAACCTATCCGTAATTTGGGAAGTTTTACTGACCCACCTGATGTGCTGATATTGGTTAAAGAAGGGGTTGGAGTAGAGCATTTTTTAATGCTTCCACCGGTGTTTCCACTTTCACCTTTTCCACCTCCACTCTTATTGACTCGGGTCAATTTGCAAAACCAATTACATAGTTTAGGTGAAGAAGTGAAAATGAAAACAGGCGATGAAGAGCGGGATGGTTGTTGAGATGATGGAGATGAAGCAAGTGGATAGGAATATGGATTTGGATAAAAGGGTATTTCAATGTCTGACAGGAATGCAATCGGGATGAATGGGATTTGAAGGGAAGAGATCAATCGTAATGAGAAATCACAAGATAGACAAGTTCCAGATAATGAGTCTTGGTGAGTTTTGCTACTAGTGAGATGAGATGAGACGGTAGGTTCACAAGATCTTCATAAGCAGTATTAAGAAAATTAAGAAGCGAAAAGAGAGAGATTGGAAGCGAGAAACAAATAGACGCCAGACACAATTACATTGGAAGCGGGTTTCAGTGCAGTAAGTGATTTAATTAATGATTTCGACGAGGAGCCGGCAAACGGATATGGCACCGTACGGAAGATATCACAATGAAATGACAAGAAGATACCAAAAGAGATATAATATAGCAAAGCAAATGCGGAAAGAGAAAGAGAGAAAGAGAGATAAAGGGAGAGGATAGATAGAAGAACGAAAGAAATATCCAAGAATCAGATAAAAGGTAAAGATTGACAAGAAATCATTTAAAAGCAAAAAGCGAGCGAAATGGATTCGATTATAAAAATAAAACAAATTGAAAATAAACAGTCTCAATGAAATAAGAAAGAACCAAGATAGAATAGAGAAAATAAATGAAGGAAATAATCAAAGTAATTTTGCATGAAAATCAAGATGCATATCGAAAGTAAACTTGATTAAGATGAAATAAAAGCATAAGCTATTATATAATTGAAATATCTATGCATACTCTTCGTTTAAAGCTGATGATTGAGTTTGAGCTTGGGTTGGTAAACCAAGATGAGAATTCCGTCCGTGCGGTACATGTCGTAATACGGCATTATTATCAACCTTGGACAAAACAACAGCAGTTCCAATTCCTCTGACAACGATACCAGATTCGCCTTCAAGGTCAAAATATTGTTGATATCTGGTAGAAAAAAAAGTAAAAAGTAAGAGTTTAAATGATGAACCTTTCATTAAATTTGCAATCGATTTAAAATGAAAACATGTGCATGATTTATCTTATTTCGTGACTAAAGAATAGATAATTATAGTGGATGATGAATTATTTCTAAATAATAGAAAATGAACCAAAAGTAATGAAATAAAAGCATTATTACCCAACAACTGAGTTACCACCAAGTTCAAGAGCTTTAAGTCCAATTTTTCTTTTTACCTCACCAGATAACTTAGAGAAAAGAGTTTGCCTTGCTTCATTACTGGCTCTTGGTGTACGAATTTTGTCAATCCATTGGTATTCTGGATCGTCATTAACAACCAATTCTTCAACAAATCCAAGAATTGCTGAGCAAACATAGCCATGGGGTACACCAGGAGAGTAGAAGAAGCGAACCCCACAAGATGATTGACGATAACGATTGGAATCCGAGAAAAGATCTACTTTAACCGCACAATGAACTTCCCCACGAATACCGTGCATAGTGTCATAGATTGGAAACCAGCCCCACATTGCATGAACTGAGTCTTTATGAAGCAATGGATTCAAATCAATATAGACCTTACCAATGGCATCATTGGCAGAGTATGTATCATAATCCATTATGCGAATTTGCAGTGGTTCATCTTGAAGTTCTTCATCGTCAACTTCGAATCTGAAGCAATCTGAGTTCCAACAAGGGTTTAATGAGTGACGATAAACCTCTGTCTTGTACGTTGTATTCCCCAGTTTGACCTGGAATCAGAATAGGAAACAAAGGAGTAAATAACAACCGAAAAAGGCTAAAGCTATGCTATATTTACCTCAACGAAAGCATCCGAGGTATCTGATGATTTATCCATAACAGGTAGGTTACGACCTGCTATGATTCGCACTTTAACTTTACCCGGCATTGTTTATTAAATTGTTGACAGTGAAGCCAATTAAGTCAAAGAATCAGTTAACAGCCATACTCTATAGATAACAACAATGGAAATAGAAGATGATAGATACCAATAGTGATCACCATTAGATGTTTACCATTAGATGGTTGAGCATTAGAAAAGGGGTTTCCGTTTGGCTATCTTTTACATTTGTTTCCTAATTGAGTTGAGTTGAGCAGGAACAAAAGAAGAGTAGAATTAAAAAAATGTAAACAAATATTCAATGAGTACAATTTTTCACGTTAGTCAATCAATTTTGGCAGTCAAATTAAAATTAATTTTAGTCTGGTGAGCTTTGAGAGAATTGTTGTCATGGTGGCTATCATAGAATCACAGTGATTAAATTGCAGTTACTTGAGATTTTGATGGATATGATGATTATGAGTATAATGATGTGAAGATGATTGTTCCAATGCAATCAAAGATTGAAAATAATTTACAAAAGCATCATCATTACTTCATCTTTTCATCCTTCGTCTTATGTTGTTCTCCTTCTCAAAACTAATGGAGAGTCTCTCAGAAAACAAGTTGCAAGGATATCTTCACATGTGTAGACAGTGTCTTTTATCTCATGTGGTAACCTAAACAACTTGTGTTCTGCCGCTCACTTCTCTTTGATTTAAATTAACAAATTAATTAATTACTACTGCCATATGCTTTGAATTTAATCCTTGTAAAACCATCATGTAATTTGACACCTTATTTGTTCAATTTCTATGTTCCATTATCTCTCTTAACCCTATGTTACTCCATACCTCTAAGTGACTCATAGTCTTCAATGTGGATCAGGCTTATGCATTCAGTGTAGCTTTATCTCGATATAAACAGTTTGTCATACCTAATTGGGCTCCTTTTTGGTTAATCTTAAAGATTAACTTGTTTTATCAAGTGGGCCACAAATTATGCTGTTTAATTTTGTGAATATTTCTATTGGTAAGTTGAATATTTGTCTTAATACTGAAGTATTTAGCTATTCAGTTGCTGTGCGTTTTGTTAGTGTAATCTTGAGAATTGAGCCTTTTCTTTCCGGTATTTAAGTTGGTTTCTAAACGCTTTTTATCGAAATTTCAACTAATTAGCTCACTAATAAGGTTTAAAACATGTAATTAGTAAATGCTCATTTTCATTATTATGCCAATAAAACCGTTAAATACCTTTTTCTACAGTATCTTACTTGGTCTCTTTTGTTTTATTCCAGTTCTACTTTATGTTTAATCATCACCAACCATCAACTTTCGCCTTTTGACACAATCAACATATATTTATTTCTACCACTATCACCATCATCATCACCATCACTGCCATCAACTTTACCACATAAACAATTGGAGTAAAATAGACCTCAGAAATATATGCATTAAATACTGGAATATTGCAAGCATAAGAAAATATGGATAAAGAAAATGCAAATGATGATTCTGGTACACTCAGTTATATATGCCCTCTGTGTGAAAAGATAGCAGAAAATCCGGTTAAGAATAATTGTGGATGCATTTATTGCTCCAAGTGTGCTGAAAAATGTGTCACAGAGTCTATCAAATGTCCAAAATGTGACAAACCGTTGTCTATTGGTACTTTAAGCAAGCTTAGTATAGTTAAAATGAGAGTCTTCAAGACCTCAACCATGAAGCGAAAATACTCTTGCCTCGGAGTCAATGCCAATGATGAAACAGGTTTTCCTAGTGGCAGTGGTAGCACAACCAGTACTATTACCAGTACGACTACGAGTGCACCTAATGCCAATGCTACAATCAACTCAGCCGCTTCAAATTCTGGATCTTCAGCTGATCCTATGATAAGTGATTCTTCCGGGAGAAAGCGTGTAAAAGCTGAAGAAACATCTAACACCGAAGAGGTAGTAAACTTGGAAAGTTTGTTATCATTATCGTCTATTAAAGAAAGAGAAGACAAAAAGATGAGTAAAGAGATTCTAGATCTACTCAGTAAACCAACTGCCAAAGATAAATGGGTGATAGAAAAATTTCAATCAGTTGGAGGTGGACAAGTTCAAGAATTTTGTCCCCATGGAACCAGAGAAGATTGCAAAAGAGTTACTTCTGCTCAAACCTGTGACAAGCTTCATTTCAAAAAAATCATTCAAAAACATACCGACGAATCTCTGGGCGATTGTTCTTTTCTCAATACCTGTTTTCACATGGATAGCTGTAAATACGTTCACTATGAAGTTGATTTAGGAACAGTTAGAAATAAAAAAGAGCGTAAAGAAGAAATTGCAACCGATCGACGATTTAACAATGCATTGCGAAATCCTCAATGGATTCAATGTGATCTCAGAACATTTGACGTATCGATTTTAGGTAAATTTGATGTCATTATGGCAGATCCTCCGTGGGATATTCACATGGATCTACCTTACGGAACAATGTCTGATGAAGAGATGAGACAGCTGAACATCCCTTGCTTACAAGACAAAGGACTTCTGTTCCTTTGGGTGACTGGACGAGCCATGGAATTGGGCCGAGAATGTCTTGAACTTTGGGGTTATGAAAGGTGTGATGAAATCATTTGGGTTAAAACTAATCAACTACAGAGAATTATTCGAACTGGACGAACTGGACATTGGTTAAATCACGGTAAAGAACACTGTTTAGTTGGGGTTAAAGGAGAACCTGAAAATCTAAACCGTGAATTAGATTGTGATGTTATTGTGGCAGAAGTGCGAGCTACTAGTCACAAGCCGGATGAAATTTATGGTATAATTGAACGACTTTCTCCAGGAACTAAGAAGATTGAACTTTTTGGTCGTACCCATAACTTACAACCAAATTGGATTACCCTTGGTAATCAATTACCTGGGGTCTGTTTACATGAAGAACAATTGTTAACTGCTTTCGCTGTTCGTTATCCTAATCGGGTGTCTGAGCTTAAAAAATCTTTAAGTGATAAAATAAATAGATAAATTAAAGAGTATTGAGCTTTGGTGCTCACCAGCGACAAAGAACGTTTTCCAATTTATATGCTGATTTCGAATGAAAATGTAAATAATGAACTTTAAAGTTATCATTTCGATACATTTTTTTCTTGCCACTTTTATCTCTCTCTACCGCTTATTTCTCTCTTAATTTATCTTTATTTCTAAATCTTTCTTAATCTTTCTCGTACTAACTTATACAACTTAATTGCTAATAATTGTGTTCATTTGAATATTACTTACAGGTTTCAACGAAGTGATTACTACACTTATTAGAGGAGACATTTTGGCTAAGCTAACGCCTCTTCGGGTTAATTTTACAACAATATCAGCACGCATTTTTCATCACTACCGTTTTCATAATCTCACCCATTCTGGTAGCTCCCTCGATGTTTATTTTAAAGTCAATTTTGCGTCTTTTTTGTCAACTATAAAAGACGAAGTAAAACTTTCGAAAATCATCATTCAATCGACATCAACAGTCAAAGCAACAACAACAAAAAAACAGTTTTAACATTATTTTGTAAAAAATCAAAACAACAATAACAACCAATTTCATCATGAAATCATTCATTGCCATCGCTTTATTTGCCATCGTTGCCATTGCTAGTGCTAACAACCACGCTGATGGTGGACACAGTACAATCCATCGCCATCAAGATACCAGTGGAAAGTATGATTTCGGTTACCACATCAACGACCCATGGGGTTCAGCTAACTACCGGGAAGAATCTGGTGATGGCTGGGGAAACGTTCACGGTTCATACGGACTTAAACTTGCCGATGGTAGACAGCGAACTGTCAACTATGTTGCTGACAAAAGCGGTTTCCGAGTAAAGCTTGACTCTAACGAACCCTCAGTTGGCTCAGTTGACTCTGCTGATGCTATTTACAACGGTGCTGACCCTCATGGACACAGTCACACCCATGTTCCCTCAGGACACAAGGGAGGTCACCATGAAGGTTCCTGGGAAGGTGGATATGAACACCAAAGCCATGTACCTCACCATGAACAAGGTCATGATTCATGGAAACAAAAGGACTCATGGAAACCCGAAGCCAAACACGATGGATGGGTTAAACATTAAATTGATTAATTGACTTTCCTTTCATCCCTCTCTTCCTTCTTACCCTTTCACTTTTCCCAGTCTTGCTCCTCACCATCATCATCATCCTTCTCCCTCTAAACCTATCCCAAAGAAAGCTAATCGAGATTGTGATTATACTCAAAAATGGAAAAATAATGGTCGGATATCGCTCTCCACCTGTGAACATTCATCAACTCGAACGGACACATCTTTCCACTTTCCGTTCTCCATCAATATTAATTTTCTCATTCGCCTGTTTGGGGTTGTTTGCTTCATTAGATTTAAACAGCAATATCGCTCTCACTTTGCATGGTTGACGCCAAGCACGATGATCCAAAACAAGTCAACAGGGTTATTTATAATTATAATTAAATACAATCATTTTGACTGTAAAATAGAAATAGATGAAGTTAAAAATGTTAAATCTTATTAATGCTAATAAAAACATCGTTATTTAAAAGAAATAAAAATTTTGACAATTTATTGATTAAAAAATTACAAAGTTAAACCTGTCAATCGAAATGTTTAATCATACTTAAAATTAGATTATATTACTCTTTGTTGTTGTCGCAAATAGCAAAATAATTTTGGTATTTGATTAATCGCTTCTCTTCTAATTTAATTTAGCAAATGGGTTTGTATTGATAGATAATTGTAATCAAATTTATTAAAACTCACAGTTCCACTCAAATAAACACACATGATTACTCAACAGCGTTATTAAATTATACGATATCGTAAAGATCACCTTAATTGGGGATAACAATTAAGGAAAAAGGAAGGTATGCTGAAAAATGCGGAACCAAAAATCAATCAGTAATTTGATTAGACTAAGTCCACTCACGTAGCAACAATTAATTCAAATAGATATTTGAGAAAATTATTTAAATTAATGACAGTGTTTTGTTGTGTTTTTACTTGAATGTTTCATAAGTTTCACAATTAATAATATAGCATTTAAAATTATTGTTCAGTTGAACAGATTTGGTGATAGAAAAAAGAAATGAAAATCTTCTGATTAGATTGGATATGCTTAATGAATGATTAGTAAGAATTGGCATAAATCATTAAATTGTAAGAGTACTTCCAAGGCAATCAATTTTAGCAAGCTCACATAGATTTGTGTCCATTTATCCTCACTTCATATTATATTACATGATATTCATTAATAGTTAATTTAGTTAATGTAAATATTCATAAATGATTGGACTTAGCAATTAACAATGAAAAATAATTCGAGAAGGATGATCTAACAAGACAAAAAAGTTAAAACATTTAAGGTTCGTTTAACTGGGAATGGCAATAAAACTGTCATCTTTCATTCACAATTTCAAGGGTATTTAAAGATATAAAAATTTGATTCGATTCAATGGTTATGGTGTAATTGGCGATTAAATCACGTGTAAGGCTTTCTTTAAAAAGTTCAGTGAATTATGGAATCCTTTGTATTCATCATTCATCTCTTTCTTTGTATCTTTTCAAGTCTCTAATTCCTATTCCAATTTTGAATGTAAATAAATTTGTTTCTATGCTGAGAATGGATCTAGTTGCTTGATTGTTGGAAATCATTGCATGATTGGCTCAGTGTATTCTCGGTTTTCCTCGTTATTCTTGTCTGATTCTTCATAATTGGTTCGATTTCGTTGACCTCTCAATTTAAGATAAGCTGGGCGAATGAGAACATCATTGTATAAGAACATTCCAATTAATAATAAAGCAAATCCTCCTAATTGAATTCCATCAACCTTTTCCCAACCAAGGGCAACACCAGCAATTTTAATGACAATGGTTCGAATTGAATCTAACACGGTTCGGGTTGTGGCAGAGATTTGTTTGGTTACGGAGACTCCAGCAAAATTGAAAAAAGCAATTGAGATTATTGTTCCTGTAATAGAAAAAAGAAGAAACAATTTAACATTAAAATTTTTGTCAGACAACAAATTAACTCCCATTCAATCAATTTAACTAATCATTGATCTTAGACATTGTACCATTTTCAATTCTCGTTACTCAAATTTCCTGATGTCATGAGAGATGTGCGATTTACTTTGTTTAGATAGATAAATGGCAAATTATTTAATATATTTAACATTTGCTAATATCAATTCACCAAGATTAATTTTACTAATCTAAGTGACCTGATATTTAATGTTTTATCAGTAAAGTTGTTTAATTACGTTACATTTTCCCGTCTGTTTCGATCGAACTGAGCGGATTGCCCTTTAATAGTAATAAATTAAGTCTAGCCATAAGATGTTGAAGGGGAACTTTTAGTTGCCATTTAATCTAATCTAATTGATTCTTATGTAGTTGCAAATAGCAACCATTAGGCTATTAGAGAGTTATGATCAAAGTTAATATTAATAGCCACTAATTTTTCTAACATAAATCAACTTCTTTTGGTGAAATCAAGCTCAATAATAGAAGGGGAAAATTTGCTGAAAAAAACTATAATTTAATCTTCAATCCAACAAAGGTAAATGGAAAGATTCCTTTAATGACTTTAACAGAAAAAAAATAATCGTTCATGGATTGCTCATCGCTCAATTGAATGGAAAGTTAAAGCTATAGAATTGAGTTTCTTTACCCGCTCGTTGATTAATTGAAACATGTGAAAACCATGAGGCTGCTTCACGTGCAAACAATCAAGCAATTCTAGTGAAATTTAAATTAATTGTTAAGAATCTTTTCAAATTCATGGCAACTATTGGCTTGTAAAAACAGTAAAGGTAAAAATTGGTATCATATTGTTATTTGAAAATAACCAGGAAATAGTGAGTCTTTTTATAGCTGCTTCAGTTATCAAAACAAATCATAAATTGAGTTGAGTCTGAATTGAGAATCTGATCGATCAATGAACAAACTCAATTATCAAGTTTGATAAATTATCTTATGGCTGTTGTATCAAGCTTATCAAACATGAAATCGGTAGGAATTATTTGGTTAACTCGTATGCAAAAATTGGTTTTTTTCTGGTTACCAAAATGATAATTACCTGAGAAACCACAAGCAACTTGCCAATTGTTTTTAATTTGATACCAGGCATCAATAGCATCTTCAATTTGTCCTTCAGGGTTATTAAAGACACCATTTCCAACTTTAATGAAATACATTGGTACTAATAAGACGGCCATAGTTGTGAATCCAAAGAAACCTTCCCAACCAACAACCTGGAGAGGTGAAACACGCTGTGAGTTGACAAATTTTTCCTCCAACACCATTTGAGCTGCGGTAACAATTTGAGCCAAAATGATGAGAACATCACCGATAATAATGTGATCCGTGTTTTTTGTAGAGGTACCAGAGGAAAGCATATCAGAAACACCAACAATGGTCAATCCAGAGATGACAAAAGCAATACCAAGGTATTCATAGGGCTTGAGTTTACGCTTGAGAAAGACGACTGACATGATGGCAGTGAAAATTATTAAAGAACCTCTCAACATTTGGAAACTCGAGGCGTACGTTAAATTGAGTCCAACATACATAGTGGAAGTAGCGAGTAGATCACATAACGCAGGTAAAGCAAAAACGGATCTCCTAAAATTACGGTTTCCAGATATCGACGGAGGCAATTGGTCTTCGGTGTAATCCTTTCGTGTATAATAAACGTAAAGAATTTTAAACCCAAGAAGACAACTAAGTTCACCGAGAAACATTCCCAGTGCTTGGACATATGGATGGTTAAATTCACGGTCAACTCCATCTCGACCAGGCGAATGACTTCGATCAGCCCATCTAAGATAAAATAAAAAAAATGTATATTAGTTAAGATAATGTAATGTGTAACATATCGCAATATTTTGCAATGAAACGTTTCTTCAAATCTATCTTCTCCATATCTTGAACTTTTGCTCTTTATCGTCTGTTTATTTTTCATGCTGTAATAGTAGGCCTCAGTTAATTGCAGTGAAAGTTTTCACTTCTTCACTAAAGTCAACATAATTGATGAAATATGAGTCTCAACAATGTCTGTTTATCTCATGAAGTCATTTCAAGTGGTTCAGTCCTCTTTAACCCCGACAGCTCGAAAACCTCTCAAGACTTTTTTTGCATTTTTCTCTTTTTCTTATAGCCATTATCATTTCAATCATTATCATTTACTCAATTCTTAGCTCACAATTGGTCTTAATATACCATGTAATTTTCAAGTGTCCATAAGCGATACTCTCAACTATATGGTTTCAACATCTAGCAGACGACTAATTGAATGTTTGCTTTCATTGCCCGGAAATTATTAAATCATTTTCAGTGTCAGATTAATTTTCAGATTAACTGATTGAGAAAATAATTTCAATTGCAAAATTGATCAAAAAATGTTATTACAGCTACAAGTTTGGTGAAAAAATGTCTACAAAACGAATCCACATCATCAATTTATTACTGATCTAAACTCACACCATATTATCAAACCACTAACGCATCTGTTGTGTGTTCATTAGTATCATGCTTGGTAGTATTAAGAGTCATTGAGCTAATTTTATTGTTGAAATGTGTAACAGTTTAAAATGCAAATTATCACAATTATATCGAAGCTATTAGTGAAATAGTTGAAAGGTAAACACATTTCTTTTCCTTTAAACTTGTAGCTTGATTATTAATGATGATTAGTTGACACTATTAGCAATAAATTCTGTGGGCGTTCATTATTCATGATCAGGACATGTAAAGGAAAAAGGTTCATTTATAATAGCCAAGTTTGCAATAATTTTGCCATTTGGCTTTGAAAAAGGCACACAAAACACTCAAGAGTAAACCTGAATCCAAAAGTAGAAGATTGACTTTTTTTTGTTCAACTTACTTTGTTGCAAGAGTATTAAGTGAACCAGTGACAACCATAACCACTGCTAGAAAAGTTTGATATGCAGTGAACGCCATTGTGTTAACAATTGAATCACCTTGTGATACTCAACTAATTACAAAAATGGCTTGCAGGAACAGATTTAAATTAAAAAGTAAAACAAAAAAATACTGTTGAACAACAGGGAAAAAGATAAAGAAAGCAAAGCAAAAGTGAAAGGAAACAGCAGCAGAAAGTTGTTGGAGAAACACTTTACATATGTACACACATATTATCCGTCAGCTTCACTAAAATGTCTATTACAAGAATAAACTATGATTTACAATTATTTTCAACTATTGGTGTAACTAATGTGAAAATTAAAGATGATGATGATAGTAATATTAATGGTGATGATGATGACAAGTTCATTTATACAGCGTGGTTGTTGGATAAAAATGATGTTACCAGAGAGAAAAATGTTTTAACTTAAAGTGATGTTAAGAGAGAGAGACTTGTTTAGGGAGAGGAGAGGAAAACAAAGAGCCACAAAGTGAGAGATGATGAAAGCTGGATGAGCTGATCCTTAGATAGTTGGTTGTTTCAAAAACTACATTTAAACTGGTTGATATTGATTGATATAAATTAATTAGAAACAACAATCGGATATTTAACTGGATCAATCAAATAGAACCTAGAAAAACCTAGAGTTAAGATACAGATACTGATAGAGATATCGATATACCGATGCGGTAAACTTGTACATTAACGCCCTAAGTGTAAGTTTGACCAGATTCATGTAAATAAAGATATCTTTTTACTAATTACTAGTTGCCTTGCGTTTATAATTAGCAAATTTCATTAATTATTTAAATTTCCATATATCTTGTTGCATCTTGATTAACCGGTACTCTTGTTTTGAACAGATCTGACAAATAAACCTAAAATTTTCTGGTTCAACTTTAAAATTGTGCTTCGTGTGGATTCAATTTGATTAATCAGCTGGGTTTGTGATAGTCACAGAGATAGCAATCATCTAAATATGTGTAATGGGCGTTTTGATTGTTAATATCAGTGATTAATTGGGTAGACTTAAATTGCTGTTAATCATGAGATTCTAGGAGACCTTTCATAGTGATTAGGTTAGAGGGTTAATAAGGCAGGTAAGGATGTGTATGGATGTTTGATTAAGATGAGAGTCTGTTAAAGGTTGTCAATTGATAACTTGACGAAACCCAATTAGATTAATGCTGATTAAACAAATTAATATCAGACCGTCAAGCATTAACAAGTTAATTATTTGACACAATACAAAATGATATTTCCTTAGCCCAGCAAAAAAAGGCAAATCAAATGATCAAATCTTTCAAGGTAGTTACTTTTAAAGATTGGTTAAATTGTAACAATCAACACTTTTTTTATTAAAGTATTAATCATTGCTGATTCAATCCTTATTAAAATGGGAACATATTTTCCGTACTAAACTGCTATACGGATTTAAGTGTTGAGATTAACCAGTTTTCACTTTCCGTGAACCCAAAAACCAGAAATAAAATGGGTAATCTTGAAAGCAAGCCTTGCTCAATTTAACCAAATGTTAAGGTTTAGTAAATTGTTGAACCTTTTTGGTTAATTATTTTTTAACTTGAAACTCCATTTAGGTTGATTATAAAACCACAAATGAGTAACTAATCAATCAATTGTGATCATAATTTTGATAGGTTAAAATGTTACTTCAAACCAAAATGCCTATCTGCCTGTTGGACTGTGTAGCAAAGTAGTTCAATTAGGATTGTTTATCTTTCAATCAAATTAATCGTACTTTAAACTCGACAATCTGATAATCACTATTAGCTGTTTTTACGTATTTTAATTTAATACAACTGTGATAATAATATCTGAATGAAAGCCACGGGCTGGGCTCATTGAAAGTAAATGTGAAATATACATTCCAGTGCAGTTGTTTTTTGTTTTTTGTATTGCCTCGCATTTAGCACTGATTTAATTTAATGAAATGAATTTAGTAAGAATTTAGAAATTTGATTGTTTCAAAGAATAAAATCAATCAACAAGTTTGCTGAGTGTGAACTTGTTGATTAGTCTTGAGTGTAAAGTATTTATATCATAAGATTGCAAACAATGAGATTTCACGTTCTTTAGACGACTTGATATAATATTGAAATTGTAGCTGTTAGCTGTTTAACACTTAATCAACTTTTCCAGTCTTGAATCATCTTCAATATATCTGAGTCTTCCCTGATTCTGAAGCAGTTAATCATCATTAGGAGACGATTCCAATAAAACCTTTCAATCTTTAACGCTTACCTAGACATAATGATAAAGCAAAAACAAAATATTAAGCTTTTAATAGATTGGTTTTTTGTTGGCAAAATAAACCTCATGGTGTCTCAGTTGATAACATGTTTTGCTGTTTGGCTCACAATTAATAAATCACAGTATTATGTGTTCAAGGTTTGGTAGTTTAATCGTGATTTTAATTGGTTTTCACAGTTGAAATTGTTATCATTCTGTTTACAAAAGCAACACTAAATTGGCTTCCTAAATTGGAGTAAATCTCGTGGATCTGCAATAATAAAACTCATTTCTTCTTATTTACATGCATTTTCTTGTTGAAAAGATAAGCCTTGAATGATCTTGAAGATATTGTAAGCATGATCGGTTTCATCTGATTCATCAAGAAACATAACTGGTGCAATTGTTGTATCTGATTCAGTTGTTGATGATCTTTAAAAAAATACGTTGCAAGTGAGAAAAAGAAATAACTTGTTGATGTAACAATTGAATTTGTTGCAGACATTGATTTTTGTCTAAAAATCAGTCTGGGAGATTTTATTTCATCATGTGCAGTATCGTAACTTATTTTACCAAAATTTTGGCTCATAGTTAATATTTCCAGACAGTTTTGTCTTTGCAATATTGTTGAAACCTGTAATCTACTAGTTAATCATGTAACACCATCAGATACTATTCAATAGCCCTCGAAAAAGCTTTGACAGCGCACATAGTCTATGAAAAAGACATGAAATTAGTTGATTAAGTTTTCTTTTAATTCTGATTTTCTAATCCTAAACTGCAAAAAATAAATCCAAGTTTAGGAAACTAAAAGTTTAGTCCATAATGCATCGTTAATAGTATTTTTATGCGGCATTAATACCGAATCAAACACTGAAACAAGATCCTAAGGTATGACTGGTAAAGTTTGACAGTAAAGCGTACATGATTTGGGTGTTAGAATTTTTTCGCAGGCCTCAATACCAGACTTTTTTAATTATTCCTGGCAATAGGGCAAGGAAATGTCGAATTTTGCTGTCAGCGACCGCCAATTATCGTTGATAGCCGTTTAGTCCTTCTTTTAGTCGTTAAAACGCTCAAAACTTTGTTGTGTCATCTACGTCGGTTCACGGTCTCATTTATTGAAGTTATTACAGTTTTTTGATTTCCGACCCTTACACCAACCCTGTAGACTGACCTCGAGTTGGTATCACTATGCTGCAATTGCTCTAATCATTCGTAAAAACTTTACCCTGTGCGGTCGCTGACAAAAAAAAATATTAATTTAGGACTATCACTATCACTAAGACCCATACTGGACAAATAGAGAGTTAAAACTGATTAAAACGCATATCAAATGGAAGCCAAGAAAATTTCCGTTAAATTAAGTCTGATTTTGTGCAAATCTGTCGACTCGTTGAGCCGCCATGAAAGATTGTAAAAATTATGGTCAAACTTTACCAGTCATACCTTAGAAAACGACAAAACTTTTTTCAATTCATACACAACAGAAGGATTGAGAACGGTTGTTACTCAAAAGAAACAATCAACACTATTGCCACTTAATTCTCAAATTGACGCAAATGAGCAAAAACGGGTAAAAATTGATTTGCCACTTATTTTGTGAATGAAAAATTTCTTTTTTGTTTAAAACAGTGAAGTTCGATTTTTAGTTGAACCGACTGCATTTTATGACCGTAAGTTTTAGAAAGCTGAAACCTTATATCAGTCAATAAAAATTGTTGATTATGGTTTGAAAACTTTTTTCGATTCATTAACGGTTCTCTTGATTTTGACCATTTACCTAAAAACTTTGACGACTGCATTCAATGAGCGTCTCAGCGAGCTAAAACTCATAATCTGTAAATGAAACTTATTGGTACATATCATAGATGGAATTTTTTTTTCAATTTATCAACAATTCTCTCGATATTGGCCATTTACCCAAAAAGTTTGAAACTTAATATTTCGAGAATGGCATAACCTACGTCCATTATTCATTGACCAGACATTAGATTGCATAATGGACTATGAAATAATATGACTAAATATCGTATAAAATCCGAGCTGATTCATTTTATAATGCAAATCCTTCTAACACATAAGATTTGTGTGTAGGAAAACATTTAACTTGATAAAACAAGCTAAAATCTGACAATTGAAGTAAAGCAATGCTAAAACATATTTGTAGGGTCTTTTAATGATAGGAATCTTTTAGGAATAATTTAATATTTGATTATATTACAGCCCATGATGTAGTCTATTGTTTGACGGAAGAATAATGGACATAGATGATGCCATTCTCAAAATATTGATGTTCAAAGTTTTTAGGTAAATGGCCAATATCGAGAGAGATGTTGGTAAACTGAAAGAAGTATTCGAGTCATGATGTTTACCAACAGCTTTTATCGACAGAAAATATGTTTCGAATCGCTAACTTTTACGGTCATAGAAAGAAGTCGGTTTAACTGAAAATCGCACTTATCCGTTTCATTTCGAAACGAAAGTTTTACTTCTTGAAATATGTGCATTTTCTGGTTGTCCATCAAAAATTACATTACAAAAATGAAGTTTAATGAAAAAATCTGCTGCCATTGTTGCACAAAAGGCAATCGAAGTTATAACTTTGAGTTCGATTTCCTCGAAAACTGTCGATGAGAGAAACTTTTGAATCGCACTCATGGATTCAGATAGCAAACCCTGCAAACGGACACAGGTTAAATTTGCGAGAAATCCATTTCTATCCGTTTTGCGCTCAATTTGTCTTTCAGTATTTGTGTAAACCATTAAACTTTATGAAGTAAGCTCAAACCTCAAATCTTTCTCATTTATGAACAAGTTTACACAAATGCTGAAATACAAATGGGAATAAGAGGGTAAAAATTGATTTCTTTCAAATTTAGGCTCTGGTTGCTTGTAGCCACATAAAAACGGAATCCATTTGTACGATTTATAAGTTTCTCTGATCAATGGCTTTCGAGAAAATCAAGGTCAAAGTTTAAACTTCGATTGCCTTTTGTACAATAATGGAAGCAGATATTTTCATGAAACTTCATTGCATTGATGTATATTTTGATGGTCTACCATGAAATGTGCTTATTTTGGGAAATAAAACTCTCGGTTCAAAATAAAACAGATCAGTGCGATTTTTCTTTACAGCGACAGCATTCAATGACCAAAAGTCTCAACGAGCTGAAACATGTTATTGGTCGATAAAAATTATTGGTATACATCATGGGTGCAATAACTTTTCCAAATTAACAATAGTTCTCGTGATATCTGCCATTTACCTAAAAACTTTGTACATCAATATTTCGAGAATGGCATCACCTACATCCTTCATTCTTTGACCAAACATAAACTGCATTATGAGCTATAATATACTCAAGCATTAGATGACTCCTAAAAGATTCCTGTCACCGAAAGATCTTACAAAATACAATAAGTTGTAACATTGTTTTACTTATGTTAGACCATTTGAGCTTCATTAATAAAGTTAAGTGGTTTCTCAAACACAAATGTTATACTGAAGAAATCTTTCGAAGAGTATTCATTATTAGATGAATTAGCTCGTATTTCTTCGCTACTCAGCCACATTATATTATAGCCCATAATGCAGTCTATTGTTTGGTCAAAGATTAATGGACGTAGGTGATGCCATTCTCGAAATATTGATATTTAAAGTTTTTGGGTAAATGGCCAATATTAAGAGAACTGTTGAATAATTGAAAAAGTTATTCGACCCATGATATGTATCAACAACTTTTATCGACCAATAACATGTTTGAACTCGCTAAAACTTTCCGTCATAGAATAAAGTCGCCTTAAAGAAAAACCGAACTTATCTGTTTTATTTTGAACCGAGAGTTTTATTTCTCAAAATAAGTACATTTTTTGGTTGACCATTAAAAGATACATCACCAAAACAAGTATCATAAAAATATCTGCTTCCATTATTGCACAAAAGGCAATCGAAGTTTAAACTTTGACCTTGATTTTCTCGAAAGCCATTGATCAGAGAAACTTATAAATCGTACAAATGGATTCCGTTTTTATGTGGCTACAAACAGCCAGAGCCTAAATTTGAAAGAAATCGATTTTTACCCTCTTATTCCCATTTGTATTTCAGCATTTGTGTAAACTTGTTCATAAATGAGAAAGATTTGAGGTTTGAGCTTACTTTATAAAGTTTGATGGTTTACACAAATACTGAAAGACAAATTGGGCGAAAAACGGATAAAAATTGATTTCTCGCGAATTAAGCCTGTGTCCGTTTGTAGGGAGATCAGAACTGAAGCCATTTATGCGATTTCAAGATGTCTCTGATCGATAATTTTGGAGAAAATCGAATTGAAAGTTGAAACTTCGATCACCTTTTGTACAATAATGGAAGCATGTATTTTCCCGATACTTATTGCACTGATGTATTGTTAGATGAGCAACTACAAAACGTACTTATTTCGCTAATTAAAACTTTTTGTTCAAAATAAAATGGGTAATTGAGCTTTTCAGTTGAACCGATTGTTTTCTGTGACCATAAGAGTTAACGATTCCAAACATGTTTTCTGTTGATATAGGGGTTAACCTACGTCCATTATTCTTCGACCGAATAATAGTTTGCATTATGGGCAATAATATAATCAAATTTTAAATTATTCCTGCAAGGTCCTATTATTACAGAATCCTACAAAATAAGTTTTAGTATTGTTTTACTACTTTTGTCAGATTTTAGCTTGATTTATGAAGTTAAATGTTTTCTTACACACAAATTCTTATGTGTTAAAGATTTGCATTCACGAAATATTGATGTTCAAAGTTTTAAGGTAAATGGTCGAAATCGAGAGAACTGTTGATCAATTGGTCAAAATCGAAGTGATCTCTTTCAAAGAAAATAGAGATTTTTAATTCACAAAATAAGTGCATTTTTTGTTGGTTTTGCAAAGTTACATCAGAAAAATGAATTTCATGTTCATTTTACAAAAGGCGATCGAAGTTTTAACTTTAACCTCGATTTTCTCGAAAACTATCGGTCAGACAAATTTTACAATCGCACAAATGGACGCAGTTTTTATGTCTCTACAAACCAACAGAGGAAAAATTTTTAAGAGATTTATTTTTAACCGTTTTTGCCATTTGTGTATAAATATGATAATTGGGTTAATGGTTGGAATGAATTGAAAAAGGTTTTTGTCTTTATCTAGGATCTATGATATTAACGGTAAATAATAGACTAATCCTTAAGTTTTGTAGGTTTGCTATGTTATATTCAATAGTGCAATCTAAAGTTTGGTCGAAGAATGATGGTTGTAGCCGATGCCATTCTCGAAATATTGAGGTTCAAACTTTTTCGGTAAATGGGCTAAATCAAGAGAGCTGTTGATGAATTGAAGAAATTATTCAATCCATGAAGTGTACCGACGATTTTTATTGACCAATCATAAATTTCAGCTCTCTAATTATTACGGTTATAGAATGCGGTCGTGTTAACTAAAGATCGAACTTATCTGTTGTTAAGAAAATAGAAAATTTTATTTCTCAAAATGTGTGCATTTTCTGGTTGCCCATCAAAAGTTACATCTGCTAAATGAATTTCATTAAAAAATCTGCTTCCATAGTTGCACAAAAGGCGATCGAAGTTTCAACTTTGACCTCGATTTTCTCGAAAACTAGCGATCAGACAAATTTTTTCAAAGCATTAGTGGACTCAGTTTTCATGTCCCTACAAAACAATAAAGTCAAAATTTGAAAGAAATTAATTTTTAGCCATTTTTTGTGTCAATTTGTGCATAATGTGACAATTGTATTGTGTCTTTTTAGTATCAACCCAAAATTGTATTGACTTTATATATTGCAAATATTATAAATATGGCGATAGTTTAACCTTTCAATTTATTTACTCAGAGCTTAAATGATAGCTTGGATCTCAAATAATAATGAAAGCTGCGATGATCTTATGCCTTGCCTGAGAATGATGTTACTATCACATTCATAAGGCAAATGGTAAGTTTACAATGATTTACTGACTCTGTATGTCAACGAGTGTGACCTTAAATTGATTTCCTCTTAAGTTTAAGTTGTGAATTCAACAGCGTAAAGGCATTATTTTTTCAAATAGTTAATTGTGAAAACAAAATATTTAAAAGTTGGACAAAATATATATGATTTATCGATGTTTATACTATTTCGATAATCGATGTACGATTGGTAAACATTAGGAGTAAAGATTGTCTTCTTGTGTTTGTGGACATTGATCAACACCACTGATCTAATCAACTGATGGTTAATCAGATAATTTGAAAGGTTAAAAACCATCTATGGAGTCAGAAGCATTTGGGCAAGAATGATCTTTATCATCTTGCCAATATCCTCGTGGAGTAAAGTCACATCATCTTTGTTATTTTTTAACACCAGTTTTATCAATTTTCGTGAAATTTTCGATTTGGTTTCAGGTAATTTAGCTCATTCAATTGTTTTTTTATTTAATATTTTACTCATTTTTGTTGAACATTGTTTTATTTTCAGGAGCTGTGTCGATCCAATGAAATATTTTCCCGTTGAGTCTATTTGAAGTGAATTTTAATAAAATTGGAAGGAACTGCTATTCTCGCAATGTTTAGCAATAAACTTGACAAAGATGCATCAAAAGCTCTTCTCGAATGGGAATTAAGTCTTGATTCAAGTGATCTTCGATCTCATGCTTGGTACCATGGTAATATTGAAAGGGACACAGCTGAGTCTTTGGTCATTGATGAAGGTTCCTTTCTAGTTCGTGATTCATCTACCAAACAGGGTGAATATGTTTTGACTTGTCGCTGGAATGGATCAATTTTTCATTTTGTGATCAATCGACAAGTACTTCCTCCTTTTGCTGTCGGTTTCCCAGATAGAATCCAATACTCTTTTGAAGATGAACCATTTGACACTGTATCTGGATTAATAACATTTAGCGTTTGTAATCGTAAACCTATTTCATTATCATCTGGAGCTCTCATTTCAATACCAGTTGCTCGAACAGTGCCTCTTAGTAATGACTCTCAAGGAACCCAAAGTATTGATCAACCAATGGAAGACCAGCTGACTATGTCAACTATCGCACAATTATCATCTCTGACTCTTGATTCTCGACTACCTATCCGAAGTGATTCACGTTCATCAATTGAATCCCTTAACAGGTATCAAAAACCCATAATGAGATCAATCCCTGGGTTTCTATCGTCATCTTCTATCTCTACATTATCATCATCTTCCTCAACCTTTTCCAATAGATCAGGCTCAATTACACCGTCAGTGATGACATATTCTGATAGATTGAATCAACCAAGTTTGCAAAATGGTCCAACAATCAGTCAAGAACGTGAAATATCTAAAAACGAACCCGTCTATGCCAATGCCGAAGTCTACCAAGATTACATGAGAAAACGAGAATCTGAGGATTTTGCTTATTTCTCCGATTACTCTGATAGTCGATCAGCTGGTAGTAAAGAGGATTATTCATCTTACATCATTTCAGCAAATTATTCATCTTCACGAATTAATCCAATCAACTTTCATACTTATTTATTACCAAAAAATAATAAACCGTTAGATGGTAGTGCCATGAATAAGATCAGAAGTACACTTCTTGATACTGGAGCTCGTTTACTGGCAAATCATGTTACTCAATCTGATCTTGAGTTTATCTACCATGTTGAAGATTCATGTGACCTTGGAATGGGTGTTAAATCTGGCCTTGAATTACTTATTCTGCCCCAAGGTGATAAATATAGGCAGGATTTTTTAGATAGAATCAAATGTTTCCAATATTTTATAGCAACTTCTGTGTTAACTTGCCAGTCTGAAAGGGAACGAGCAGCCATCCTAGATAAATGGATACAAATTGGTTTCGAATGTAAAACTGGACTAGGTAACCTAATGACTTTTGCCATAATCATGCGAACGTTGTTGTTACCTATGATTGTCCGTTTGAAGCGAACTTGGTTAGCGTTAAGACAATTACATACTCAAAGCGCTGTCACTTTTGAATCAAAAATGAAGCCTGTTTTAAAAGGGATGAATGAATGTAAAGAACCAATTGCTCCAAATACAACCTTCCCTTACATTTGGCCTTCCGTTGAAATAATTCACCGTTACTCATCTTTACTTAAATCTGGTGAACCCAATTCAATTGATTCACTAGATGCTTTTAAGGTGAGTTGCAAAAAAACTTAAAGCCTGAATTTTTCAATTTTACTCCATGGTTTTAATGCTACTTTTCTTGTTTACTAATTTGCAGAATTTGTCCCTTGATCTGGAAGTGGAAAAGATTGGCACCGATTATGGTCTTGAAACAATTTATTTTCACCTCGACTATTGTAGACAAATTGTTTCACAATGTTCTTTATTCAAAAGGAATCGCAAAATTTTGTACGAAGACGTTGTCTTAGAAGATTTATTAGTAGACATGTTTCGAACCGAATTTCATCGGCGTTTCTTGTGGGGAACCAAAGGATCCAACGTTGATGCGACTCAACGTTATGATAAATTTGACCAATTATTGAATCTTTTATCTCAAAAATGTGAATTTGATTAGCTCTAGTACAATCCGCAGAAACAATAACGCATAGTTGCGTTATCTACTTAAATTGGCACTGCATCCAAAATAACTTATAGACAAAGAGCTTTTAGAGATTCGCAACGAATAATCGACTAATCAATGTTTTAACTGCTCAGCTAAATCAAAATAATCAAAATACTGCCTACTGCTAAATTATACATATTAAGCAGATTTTACTAAAATTGAGATCAATTCAGAGCCATGCTCTTTTTAATGCATTTGTACAAGTTTATTATCAATATTTTATTGCATTAATTTAAGTGTAACTCGTTTTGTTAGTCATGTAATTTAAACTATCCATTTCTTATTGTCTTGGACATTTTTTCACGAATTTCTCTAAATTTTAATCAATCTTTTATGCTGAGAAAATTGAAAAGTACTGCCATTTTCCATTCTCGATTGTTTACTATTGTAACTATAAATAAATATTAGTTTAAATGGTAATTATAGCTACAAGCTTAAAATTTTTTCGCAAGTTTTCTTTTCTAGTCGACGATTTGTTTCCTAGATGTTCATCTACCTCCTGCATTAAACTCAAGCAATAAAATGATTCATTATTGAAATAATTAAATACATACTAGAATTATTGAATAAATTTTGAAAATCTTAAACTTCAGAATCAATACGATTTTTCTGAACCTTCTAATCAATTGGTTCCTGTTGATGCTTCCGCGGATGCCTATTATAAATAGGCATTTTTAAAGCAAGTAATATATTATTATAATGACGTTATGACGATTTGTTCATCAAAATGTTTATAAACTCCTGAACTACGTTCAAGAAATTGAATGATTTATCAAACAAGCGATTAAATTCAAATATACTATTAATAGTTTTTATGAACTTTTGCATAGTAAAAAATTTAAGAATCTCTTTTGCAACCATTCATCATCATGATGGAATCATTTAGGGACAATTTAAACTAATGAATGCAATTTTGAACATTTAAATTAGCAATTGTTTACAAGAAATTGTTGATAACCAACAGAAGAAACTGCAAGATTTTAAAGAAAATTGTAATTCCAAACTCGAAATTTCTTAAAAAGAAATCCAGAAGAATTTTATTTAGCTTCCTCTTTAATTTTCTTTGTAGCACTACTTTTTTCTTTAGCTTTAGTAACTAGATTACTTAATTTTCCTTCTTGAGCCAAAGCTTTTAGTACTTCAACAATCAATGGCAAATAGTTGTGCTTTCGACGGATGTTTTCAATCTACAATGATGAAGAAAAAAATATTTAAATTAGAAAACGTAAGCATGGAATAAATAAATAACAAAAAATGATAATCACCTTATAACGCCTCATTTTCACTTCTTCCTCTTCAATTTGTATCTTAAGCTGACTAATTTTAATATTTATTGTATCAGAATCAGCATTGGGTTCCGTTAACTGCTTATGAAGATCTTCCAGTTGACGATCATAAAGCATCTTTCGATCACTAATAAGTGCGAGTAAATTGAAATGTATCTCGCCCTCACTATACTTTTGAATTCGCTTTTCAATCACAGGTTTAGCAACATCAGTCCATTCAGATCCTTCAGGGATAACACCTAAATCGATTGGGCCATCTTTTAAACCATCAAGTTCATACAGCCTTCCTTCAAATGGTATATATGCTACAAAGTGAAAAACATCTTCATCTTTTGATGATGATTTAAAGTCAAATTCAAACATTTGTTGACGAGCAAATGAATTATGAACTTCCCGAATTTTGTCACAGTTGCTTAAGGCAAGCCCTTTCATAGCAGGATCGAATGAAGAGCTGAACTCACGAAATTCAGATAGAGTTTCTCCCAGACTAACATCTGAGTGACTGCAATTTAGTAGAACACTCAAAATAGCTTGTGTAGCACATGCATTGTTGATAACTTGTTTAGCAAAGAACATTTTTTCCAATCTAGAGTCTCGTACAATGCTACCAGAAGGCTCCTCTCCAGGTAACCATTTAAATAAGAAAATAAGTCCATGAATAGGTCTGTAAATATAAATGATATAGTATCAGTAATTTGCATGAAGAAATATTACTACTAATGTTTTAATTACTTGAGTGGTTCGAAATTATCCTCATTTAAACTCCATAATTCTTCGACTTGGATACCGGTAACACCTGAAATGACAGATAAGATAAGTTAATGAAAACAAACATTCAAATTCAAACAGAAATTACAAATCAGCATGGAGTTCAGTTGGTAAAAATCTAGAGTTAAAGAACCAAATGAAACACAAATAGAAGTAGGCTAAGAATAAACATTTCCAAATTCGGATGGAGTGAACATTCAAATTTTAGGATCATTCTACAGAAATAATTTTTAAGATTAAACAAAGAAAGGGTTGCATTTAACTCACCAAAGCTTCTTATTAGTTCAGTGAAAACTCCTGGATCACTTTCAATTAGACACCAATCTCCTGCAGATGCCATGATGAAATTGTTAAATTGAAGAACAGATCATTCAATAAGGAAGACTGAAAAGAATTATAATTTAGATTGATGGTTAGATCAATCAATAACAATTTAAAAAGCTAAGGAAACAATAAGATAATTTTCTGAGCAAAATTTTCATCAAAAGTGATTACTAATCTCGGAAAAAGAGCTAAGCAGCAATATATCGGAAGAAACCGATCTATCGTTTAACTAGAAAACTGAATGTTTACAAATTGTAATTTAAAAACTGATTTAACTAAAAATAAATTGTTATAAATCTTTTTCCATCAGAAATAAATAAATAAATTTTTATATTATTATCTCCTTAATAATTTTTTAAAATTTTATGTTCCCCGTTTAACCCGTTTAATAAAATTAATATCGACTTAATGTGAATAAGATAAAGCTATTTTTTATTAAAATGCTAAATGCGCTTTTGTACAAAATTTGGTTGGAAAAAAGTCTAGTCACAGTCATGATCAAATATTGGAGCCAAAGCATCAATGCGTATGAACAAGGTTACTAATCAAGCTATCTAATCAAAGTTGATTGAATATTTGTTTGGAAAAAAGTCTAGTCACAGCCATGATCAAATATTGGAGCCAAAGCATCAATGCGTATGCACAAGCTTACTAATTAAGCTATTTAATCAGAGTTGCTTGTGAACTCTACATTGACTAAATGACTCAACTACCGAAAATATGAATCGAAATGTCTTGTATTCTTTCGAGTCAATCACTATATTTTTTTGTGGTCGTTAAGCAGTTTTGTTATGTTGAGCGTTTGCACTTGAAATATTTAACTTTATTTTATTTTATTTTAAGTTCATTGTTAGCTTTCTACGATCTTCTT